TAATAAAAAGACTTTCGTTCATTTTAACGGACGCAACCCGTTATTCAAAGTAAGATATAAATTGCTATTTTCAAACAAATCCATTAATTTCTACTCATTTACTCTTAAAGACGATGTAGGTACTTTTCCAATAACTTGGCGAGCACAATTTAATCATAGTGATCAGCTAAGCAGTTTTAATCATGAAGTAAAGGAACAATTTTTAAAAACTTTAGTGACTTTGGCTTCGTAATTTGAATTCTCCACTAACCAAGGATCTCCAAATTATCGACCAACTTCTAAAATAGATAGTTTCGGAAAAGAGTCTAAAAGTAATTAATGAGTGTCTAATTACACATCTTTGTGTCAAGTGCTTCATGTATATTTCAAAGAACATAAAGAGTAATTTCGTTTGCTTTTAATAATAGAGTAACGGAGATCTTGAGTTATCATTCCGTTACGCAAAATCAATGTTCTTGTAGAATTATGCTATGTTTAATATTACTCCAGTTTGAACGCCGTTGACTTTTATTATTAGAAATGTAACGTAATTTATATAATTTTCATAGAATCCTAACGAGAAGTTAAAAGTAACTGCTGCTGTTTAAACACGTGCTTAATCTACATATGTTATCTAAATTTACTGGCAAATATTGTTAATAATATTTGCAAAATGCATCGGATAATTTATCAGTAAATACGCTAGTTGCAGTGTATTCTTAACAATATGATTAAAAACAACTAACAAAGTTTAAAATAAAGATTTTATACAGTCTTCAGACATAAATTTGAGTTTAGAAATAAGTTATTTTAATTTTTTATTATGTTAAGTTGTAAATTAAATTTTTAATTTAATGTGCTTCTAAGTCGGAGGACAATCATAAACTATAAAATTAAGGCCAGTTTATGCTGTCCAAGTTCATGAATTCCAGGATCTGGAGGAATTTCTCTGTCCAAGGAATTGGATGACTCCGCTGACACTACTAAAGTTCTTGAATGCCGCTGATTGGTTGGATGAAAAACTTACGCATGCCAAATGTCTACATTCAAGTTTATAAAAACCATACTTACATGAAGATAAAGTTACAAAATAAAATCGTAATTACACAAATGAATCCTAAGAGGCTAATTTATTTAGATTAAAACATATGAAAACAGACAAGAAAATGATATGATCATATGCCCACTCAGTGACGTCATGGAACTTTAGAAGTTAGTTATGGCAGAAAAAACTTGGAGGGAAAGAAGATCATGCTCTCAATTAAGGACATTTTATTTCATTACCAGCGATGAACAGCCGACGCAATTTTTGGGTTTAAGATCACTCACATTCAACTTCATAGCATTGTTATTTTCAACCTAATACAGAAGACAAGGGACCTGCATTTCCGTTACATGAAGAGGAAAACCACGAAAACTTCCCACAGTTAGCCAGGTGAAAAGGGGACTCTAACCCATTATCCCTCTACCACTGAGGCCGCTCAGAGGGTTTACCTTCTTTAGATAAACTTTGAGAGTCACGCTCCCAGGGTACCCTAGTGAATTGTCCTCCCTTCGATATCCTCTCACTTTTCTCCTGTCTCTTCCCCTTTGTCGCTGTTGCCAAAATTTACTGGTGAGGGCTTTTCGTTGTGTTCGATTACGCCCACGTGTTCGCTGTGCATGGAGACCCGTGTCCCCGGAAAAGGGTACGTCTTGGTACCCCAATTCACAGTAACAAAAGCTCCTTTTATGTTAAGTAAGATTTCAAGAGAATGTTTTTCCTCCAGTTTTGCATATTTAATCCTGTTTATTTTTTATAGCTGTTGTCGATCTATATTTTCGAAATCCATGATCACGATCTGATCTGTATGTGTTTTGTTACTGTTGTTACATTATGCCACTAGCCAATGCCAGGAAGGCAGAGGGTGTGTTTTTAATTTCTTCAGTGGCGCCACCTATGTCCAAGAGTAAGATTTCCCCCCACACATCACAGTCCGTTTTACAGAGAGGACCCAATCATATTCCATTCATTCACCTACAAATCGTAATTTTGAACTAAGCTATCAATCTCCAATTCAGTACCCCTAGAGGCATTGATTTGTTATGGAAACTTGGAGGACTTTGCGGCCCCGACAGATTTAACGTACACCTGTTATCATTTACAACTCGGGGGAACCGAACTCCTGTTCTCACTAACATGAGCCCAACGTCCTACAAACCATGGTATCAAGCACTTTAGTTTTTAAGAGGTAAATTAACCTTTTAGTTAGTAATTTGTCCAAGAGTTTGCCTTACAATGTAAGTAAGGATATAGGTCGATGGTTTTATTATTTTTGAGAATCGTTACCTGGTTTTGGAATTAGAACTCTAGTAGAGGTTTACGAGATGGTAGGGAAATGGTTGAGTTCATAACATTTGTTAAATATGTCTGTAAACCATTTAGAATTTATTTTATACATAGTTTTAACTACTTCTGGTTTCTGCCCATCTTGAGCCTAAAACTTTATTGTATTCTGATATACATATTGAATTTCTATTTCTGTGACTGGTTGTTCAAGAATAATATCTGTAGCCGCCGGTAGGGGAGTGTCCTTGCCATATACAAAATGATATTTAAGAATGGCTTCAATTGTTTTTACTTGGTTTTTTGTAAATTATCCGTTAGGTTGCATAATTTTCTGTATTACTGATCTTCTAATATTTTTGTCTCTAGCTATATAGTAACTTGGGCCAAAGCAGTTTTGAGTTGTAAATTTTTCTAAGTAATCATGAAGTTTATTCTTCTTAGTTTTATTTGTAATTTTTGTATAAGACTTTGTCCTTTTTGTTGTTAGTCAACATTTTTATTCCTATTTGGGGATCACTCTCGCTCTGATAGCTTCTTCTTTTTGCTCAAAGTATTTATCTTCGCACAGACAACCTCAGTATTCACTGTTTCGTGCTTTCTTTATAGATTTTAGCTACCCTCTTTTTTTTAATTATGACAGAGACCCACAATACCCTCTTATAGACTAGAGGTGAAAAGATCAAAGTCTTACCTTGTATTCATTGTGATTAGCAATTCCCTTCTTTCTTTGACAATATTCCTGAGTCCCACGAAAGGTTAAAAAAGTTTAATTCAGAAATCTGATTTTCGGAAGGATTGACTCTCAGAGGCAGTCCTTAATATAATCGTAATCAGCCAATAGCGACTCAAGGTTTCGAAATACTCCACATACCGATAACAAATACCAATAAGTGGGCCCCGTACAGCTGTTAGCTGATCCAACTCTCCACAATGGTTAAATCGGCAATGAGTTTGGATCGTTTATGACATCCATGTTCATGAAGTCAATAAATTCAATGATCTGGCATCCCATCTCATCATCTATAGAACCCCTAGGGTAACTCTTGGCATTAAAGTCATCGTTGATGATTATAGGCAGACAAAAATAGGTCTCTAGTTAGTACGGCAACTCGCCATTTGATGCAACAAGGTCTACAAAAAGTGGAAAATAGGCAGAGATGACGTAAAATTTTATATCCTGGCATTTAATTTCAATGATTACCCAATTTATTTAGATAACGATTAAGAAATAATTGATTATTTTAAGAACGAATATAATGGCTTAGGGTGTTATCTGAAAATGTCATAATATTAATTGAAATCTGTTTTCCTCTAATTTGATTTTCCATATTATAATATGATTCACTCATTGCTCTTGAAAATATACTATATTGGGAAATTAAATAAATTGAATGTTGATAGTTTGCTTGTCTAGATTGATTTAAGTTAATGTGCGCTATCTATAGAGACATTTGTGATTCATCTATGGATAATTATTTTTATAACTTGCTGGTATTCCTAATTATAGCTTTCACAATGCTTCATCAATTCATATTAGTACTTAATACTTGTCGGTACTTTCATGTGTTTTTTTTATATGGATTCCAAAAAGATGTTTCTTGGTATTCCAGGGAATGAACTAGCTGACTCAGCTGCCCGATTTGCCACATCCGTCTCAACATTATCCACATCTTTCTCTGACATGAAGCTACATATTCGAAAGTTTATAACATCACTATGACAACAACAATGGGACCTCAAAGTTTTTAATAAATTGCATAGCATTAAATCCGATTTGAACAATTTGCCAGTGCTGCGCCTTCATAGTAATGACGTAAAGCTAACCCGCCTCTGAATCGGTCACACCCGGTTAGCACACCTCCATTTACTGTTTGGAGAGCCTCCTCCGCCTTAATGCAGTACTAGTAGCTCTCCTCTCACAATTCATCATATTTTAATAACGCGTCCCATGTTTTACCAAACTCGTTTAACGTTTTTTGGGAGTTCTATTTTATGCAATCAAGATTTGTTGGATGACATCCATCATCCTAGCATTTTTGCGTATTTACGTACTGTTGGTATTTTTAACAGCATAAAAATGTTTTAACACATCTACAGTTTTATACCATTTTGTAACTATCTTACTACCTTCGTACATTTTACTTAGTGCGTTTTATGCTCCACTCATACCTTTTATCTGATTTTATTTCTACCATTCATCTCGTTTTATTCACTTACTAGTACTTCTTTATCAGTTATAATTAGGCTGCAATTAAATTTTGTATGCATTTAGGCTTTTGAACTGTTTTACCTTATTGTTTGGCGCAGCATGTCCTAATTTGGACCTTGTGCCACAAAGACCTACATTTAATCAATCTATCAATCAACCAAAAGTTATTTGGGCATGTAAAGATCTCATTCGGATAAGTATCTTGTAGACTAAAATGAACGACAGGAGAGAGATTGTTCTCGTCTTATAGTATTGAAGAATGTTGTTTACAATATGCTTTATGAATTATGCTTAAGTGCAATTTTAATTTTTTTCTTTCTCTAAAAACAATTTTATTTCTTTCATCCTGATCCTACTCGTCCAACAAAAATGAAATGACTATTTTATGCATAGTTTTCATCCAGTATGATAACTACGTAAAAATTTAATGCAGCCACAAGAGTTTAATACAAATTAGAATTAGACATTTTACTGATAGAAAATTTTATTTTGAACTGTACACAGTCACAAAATGCTCTACTTTTATATACATATCAATGGTAATAAATATTTACATTTATATTGCATTTAAAAAAACAATAGTTTAAAATATCATAAGGTCATCAAGCACACGAAATAAATTTTAGCACTATAAACAACAATAAATATTTGCTATATTTCAAAAGAAAAACTTATTCTTTTAATTTTTATTTAAATTAGTAATTTGTCATAACAATTTCAAGCTGCCTTGGAAACTTTTGACACATTTATAAAATGTTTCCTAATTACATAGAAAACAAAAATTTAAAAAATAATATACTAAAGTAAGAAATCTGTATAAAACGTTTCATTAAAATTGCTTATAAATAATTTATATTAGATTCTAAACTCAGAATTTAAAACATTACAGCTGATGAGAGGGTTAAAGTATTGCAAGATTTCCTTCCGTTTAATTTTTTTAATCATTAAATTCACATTTTCTTTAGAAAAAGTATTTGTATTGAATCTCATCTTGTTAAAAACTGATTTAAATGTAACTGTGAAAGAATGTAACTGTGCATTAAACTATTTCGAACATACTCCTATGGGGTATGTTTGAAATAGTTTAATGCAACGGTTAACCAAAAAGTTCATAATACACAACAACATTTACGAGATAAAAAAAAATACGTCCTTAATAATTAAAGTTAAAAGGCATGATATATTGTTTTTAGAATATTTTTTCATTAAAGTAGTTGTAAAAATTTTTTTGAAACCTCTGTAGTTACTTTTAATAAATTGGACACAAAACACAGAAAAAACTTTTAAAACATCAACACATGCAAGAGGAGCATAAATAAAGCGTATTTTTGCAGAAGCACAAAAATATTAATGTTTTTTTTTCCAACCATACACAAAGCCTTATGATTAAGCATTAAAAAGAAATGTTTCAACTTTCATAATGCACAGCAAAATGGAAGTATTAGTGGATATAAATAACTAATGAAAATCTTTTAATGGAATGAATTAACCTGCATATAAATTTTATAAAACATATATGACATGGTATTCAAATGATTAGAAACAATGAAAGTTGGAGACATATCTGACACGAACAGTTAATGTGACATTTTTACAGCAAATGTGTGAATTCTTTTTTTTTTCCTAAGAAGTATACAATTAAGTACACATCTTTGCTGGAATGCCATTGGATCTAACAAGCGCTATCGCAAAATCATGACAATAAAATTTTTATCCTTAAATATAACTTCTTCTCACCACTCTGGACTTTACACACCTTTCACTTTCTAACTTTATTGGAGTTGTGAAAGATTTTGTAATCAGAACAAAAATAAGTTTAAGTTTATGGTTGACAATGTGACAAACGTGATGATTAACGTACGCGTAATGATTCAAGGGTGTGACGGATCCATTGGACGTGCTCAAACGTGTGATGGTATTTTCTTTGTTTGCCTGCACTTGGACATGTTACTTTTTGACTGCTTACTCCTAAAACGTACCATTTGTCGTTGATATTACATAGCAATGGACTTCCTTCGGCTTCGTCACCCTGAAAGAAAAATCGAGAATGTTATATTGATTATTTTCAGAGTGCTCATTAAATGATCAACTATTTGAAGAAAAAAAAATTCTGATTAGGAAACCAAGTTTTTATTCTCAACAAATTTCAAAATTAGTTTTGAAATTTAATGTTAGTTTGAGATTAGATTTTTCCACCAGCTGGCATCACCAGTTAAAAAGACTACAAGACAATGTTTTCAAAGTTACCACCGTTTGCAGTAACAACAAGACTTATTCTGATGACAAAACTACTGAATTCAAGAGCAAAATTTTCTGTTGGACTAGTCTGACCATAGAGATTAAATATATCAACGCGCACATTACGATAATTTTTGTTCTCATATAACTACCACGTGACTGCAGAGTGAATCAAGATAATTGAGAATTTTTATCACTAGTTTCTTCGTGTTATTTCAATGGAAAAAATTAAAAGTATAAAATCTTAGAATTTGATGATTTACTGCGTCGCAAATGGCGGCAAAGAATAATTTGTTATAAGAGGACTTGATGCATTTCACAGGGAAGTTAATTTAACACTGTGTGGAAATACAATTGTACTATTTATTATATAAATGAACTTTTAGAATTTTTTTCTTTTCCTAAAAACATTACATTAATCCCGATTACAAAATACAAAAATAACTCAGTAATTATATGATCTAACAATATTACAAAAACATTACAAAATAACTCAGATGTTTTGGAAAACTATTGAATCAAATGTTTTATAAAAAGATATATAACCATTTCTAAGACCATTCAAAAATTACTCTTTATCTTGTACAGTTTACGCTTATTAAAAAAAATGGAATTCATTATTAATGCTTAATCTAGCAAAGTATTGTCGAAAAATGATCAAATAATTTGATTGTTTCGCCAATTTTAAGCTCCTGCAGCTCTTAACTTTCCTTCGTGGCCCTTATGAGTAAAATCACAAATCTATTAAAAAAGAGACCTCATCTCAACTGTCACGATGTTTATCTGCCGAAATCACGATGCTTAAGTAGGCAGCGGCTTTGTTTTATTTGTATTACAGCTCTATGGTTCTTACAAGAGCAGAAAACCTTTAAAGTAAGTAGCACTAATTTTTGACGAACCCTAATTTTGAATGTTTATAAAGATAAACTAATTAATTTCCTAAGTATCAATCCGTTTTTCTTTAGTTGATTTTTCATTTGGTACACTCGCTGTTTAATTCTTATATTTGTTTATGTGCCAATTCAATCGAAGTCACACATCTAGTATTTTTGTTTTAATAAGAAACTTAAAAATTCCTCGTAAGGCCACGAAGTTTGATTTAACAGGAAATAGTCAAATTTTTTTCAGGCGTCGGAAATCTCGATGCTTTTTAGCTAATCTATATATCCTTCTTAATTTATTCGGAAAAATATTTTCCTCCAATCGTATTCTTGGCGAAGACAGCCTATAGGCATTAGAGTTTATATAATTCATAAATAACATGCTTTAACTCTGTTAACGATAAATATTATACTCGTACATATGCCTTATCAATAATTCTCCAAATTCATTTGCCATTTAATTATTTATTCAAACCAATATGTTATTCGATACCTAAAAATGAATATACCAAATGTCATTTATAATTTCTCTGAAATTCAATGGTATTTTTCAAAAGCTTTTCGAAAACTTTTTACCCAACAGTAAAATTAAGGAGAAACTTTTTTTTCACGCTTTAATTCCTTAAGTTATTGTATAAAAATTCAGTTTGCTTGACAAATGACCTATTATGGATAAAAAGCAATATGTTTTTCTTTTCTCGAAAGTTACTTAACCACTAAATTATCCATAAAATGTTCTTCACTTTAAATTGATTGCGCCTAAATTTGATTGATTCAAATTCCTTATTATATCAGCCTTATTATCAGCCAAACTCGCTTGACTCGTCAGCAATTGCTGTTTGGAGAGCCTTCATCCCAATGCAATACTTAAAACATTTCACTACCGATCATGTTTTAATCATCTACCAGTGTTTTTAACAGATATTGTCTCACCTTTTTTAGTAGTTCTATTTTATCTTTGGAGGCTTTGTTAGGTGACTTTCATCATCCTAACATTTTATTGGATCTACGCGCAATTGTTGTTTTATATTGCATATAGCTTCTGTTTAATAGCCCTTACCATTTTCATTGGGTATCATCCACTTATGGGTTTGTTGGGTACTTTATTCACCATTTAAGTTTACCCTATTTTAGAGTATTCACCATTTTATTTGATTTTATATATGTATTTTACTTAAAATGCTTCTGTTTTTATTCACTTTCGAAATCACCTGCTTTATCATGCATTTTACTTAAGAATTATTTTTAAAACTTTTCGTCTGCTGTAGCATGTCCTAGTTTGGAACTAGTGCCATTAAACTCTACGTTCAATTCCAGTCTTATTATTTTATCAATACTAAAAAACAATTTAATATCATTCTTGTGAGCTGCTATGGCTCAATGAATTGAGCTTTCGCTTCCCAATGGGGTGGCCCTGGATCGAATCCCAGCGGTGGATGGTTTATTCGAATTTTGCTTTCAGCTCGCACGGCCACATTGCTGATATAAAATATCCTCAGTGGTAGATGGATCGCGAGTTAGAATCTCCTTGTCTTCGGGGCAACCGTGGGAGGTTTTTGGAGTTTTCCTCTCCATGTGAGTTAGTTCCAACAAAAAGTGCTGTAAGAAGGCTAGTTTGTTCCAGGAGTTTCCTTGTCTTCTGGATTGGTTTCCAAATTACAAGACTACGGAGTTGAATATTCGTAGTTGTAAACTTAGATTTTGGTCTGCAATTTAACAAAACTAAATAAAATAAAATAAAATTCATTCTCATAATATTCAGAAAACTCCCGTTTTTGTATCTGAATTTAAAAAAATGACGTGCTTGTTAAAACATTGATAGAAGTCGTCAATTTTTATATGCAATTTTTAATAACTGTTGAGAGAAATGAGGTTAAAAACGATTCCTGCTCTGAAACTTTTTATCTATCAATTTCTATATGGAAATTTAACAGGCAGTTCCTTTATTAAACTCCGAGACATTCGCTAATTTAAAGAAGATTGCTTGAAAAATGTGCTAACAAAATTACTGACTTAATTATTGCAACAAGAATGCATTAAGAAAGAAAAATATGCTGAATGATAGAAGGAGTAAAACCAAAATTTATTTACCTGACAATCTTCATCTTCCATAACCTCATTTTCGACAGCGCAAATTAATCTTTGACCTGGAGATGAACTATTTGTGGAATCTGTGCTGCAGTTATTACCAGTTATTTTGAGTTTTACTTCAAAAAGGTGATTTTCTGAAAGAAGATAAAATACATTTATTACAACACTTCGAAACACTAAGAACTACTGTAAACGAGAGAGTTAAAAATATTTAAATAAATAAAGTTTGACTATCGAAGAAAGTTTTGAAGATTTATTTGTATTAAATATTACATTCGGATCTCTGAGATGAAAAATACACAGAATTACGCTAGCGATGTCAGTAATCTCTCCGCATCAATTTTTCTTTTTCAGTCAGACTTAGTTAACTCCTAATATCTTGGATCTATGCATGTTTTAAATTTTTTTTTATTGTGTTAAAAAAGCTTATAAAATAAAATTCCTATATGCCTATTTGGATCAATTTTATGCAGAAAACTTTGTAGCATGCACTTAACATTTTAATATGTTTTTTTTTCTATGTACTCTTTAAACAATTTTATGTATTTTACGAACATAAAAGGCTTGTGGTAGGCCAATGGTTAAAAAATCGGGCTCCGGTCCCTGGGTTCGAACCCCGACTTCGGTAAGACCTACCGAGTACAAGCTACAAGCGATACACGTGCTCATAAAATCTGTGGAATCAAATGTAGTGTGGTCAGTTACTGAGCAGTACTTTGGGAACAGGGATCTGGAGAAAATGAATACTTTGAATTTAGATTTTAAACTTTCTTAAAATTTTTCATTGTCTAACAATTTTGACAGACGAGAGCAAAACCAAATAAATTTTAAAATTTTTGAGTGGAGAAATTTTTATGCAAATTTTTACTGGTGAACATTTTTTTTCGTGTATTTTATTTCTCAAGATTTTTTAAGGGATCTTGGATATTTTCACAATTCTGATTTCAGCTCTACAATCGGTTTTTTCACCCCAAGCTACATTTTTTTAATGATAATTTTAGTTTATTTCTTTGTCGAAATGTACAAGTTTAGAATCGCTACATACAACAAAGGGTCGCATAAATGTTGCGGCAAATTTTTTGAGGTGTGATATCATTAAAATTAAAATTGTATAGATACCCATGCCCGGAAATGTAGTCATATGCCGCTAGGAACGCTTCTCTATTAAGAATTCTTCTCTGTTCAGAATCTTCGTGTTAATTTGAACTCGTCATAATAGGTAAGTGCCTCAAGCCGCGTTTGAAGCCATTTCCGGGCATGGGTAATGGCTGTTCCTACGTCATTTTAATCTTAATGTGTTGCAACTGTGGCGTTGCGGTCTGAAATGCAAAGTCCGGACTATGAATCTATGACGTTGGACTACGTAGCTTGCAGCCGGTAATTGACGTAAACCTCATACCTGAATGGAGATATGCGTGAAGGGCGAAATCAGTAAAACGCGCACAGTATGTTTTGGATATAACTTGGCCGCATCCTCACAGCTTGCTCTCTCTCCCCGTCGGTTCTAGCTAGCAGTCCGGCATGTTCTCGCCGGTTACCTTTTCGCAGTTTATTTCTGTGCTACTTCAATGTTAAAGTGGTTAAGTTTTATATATGTTAGAATGTTAAATTTACAAGTTTCCTAGATGTTAATAAAGATAGTTATTTATTTAAACTTAGTGTTATTTATGAAGAAACCTATAACCCGTTCTCGGAAACATTTTCATGTGGAACGCTTTCCTAGAGTTACATTTCTTTTTAGAGTTTAAGTGGGGACTCTAACAAAGATACCAAACAACCCCACACAACATTTACGCGACGCGTTAAATGTAACGTTTTTAAACGATAGACTAACATTGTCATTAATATAAATTGCAGCTTTAGGAGCAAAACTAATTTCAGATTAAAAATCCCCACACCTGGCTTAAACGATATCAAGTATTTGTATTAACTAAAAAAATGTTCTTCAGTCTTTTTTTGTAAAAGCATACAAACAAAAGAAAAAAATATCTAAAACAATTTTAAGTTTTAAAACTTTTGCACTATGATTAAAATTGTAATTATTTAAGGTTAACTTCTGCAGGTTCATAAAAAAGTGCTTACTTCTTGTACTCCATCGTAACGTATTGCAAGGAATGCCAGCTAAAGAATAATTGTGACCAGGAAGACAAGATGGCCGAACGTAATCGGATCCATTGATTGATTGCTCCAATTTCAAGATTGATAAAACTCCTGACCCTATCGGAGATTTGACCATTCCCGTTATTCTCGATTCTTGATCAAAAGGAGATTTCGAAGATAATCGAACAATACCCATTTTGGCGACCCAGTTGGCGTGAGGATCCCTAAAAATAAAGTTTTATTTCTATTGAATGTAAATTATTTAAATACCGTATTAATAAAATTCGTAAATATCATTTGTTTTAAAATAATGCTCTTTTCGAGGTTTATTGATGGATACCTGCAAAATTATGAGTTTAAAAGTATTTTTTAAAAAAATGCAATTAATTAAAGAGATAATCAATTCAAAGATAATTCCAAGTGATTTTTGAATTCAATTAAATGCACATGTTTAATGCTTAGTATAACTTGTTAACATTAAAACATTAGTATAAATATACTTTAATTTAATGATCTTGTATCTCTCACTGCCCTAGTTCTGTATTTCTAAGAGACTTCTTTTTTTAATCTTTCTGTCTATATATAAGTTATTTTTTTAGCGTTTACTAGTTGGTAATGCCAATCCCGCTCCTATGAATTTAAACGTTACACTTAATTTAATTTAAAAAAACTGACTACTTTGAATAACTTGTTCTAGAACTCAATCTTAATGGTTCAATGGAGTTACCTCAAATATCGTTATTAATTAGTGCAGACAATATTTTTAGTTACGAAATCAGACACTGAAACGCATTTTCTTTAACAAACATGCATTTGAGTCCTAGAACGTGAAGATCCACTCATTAGACCAAGAGTTATTTAGGATGGTCCACTACCAGCGATTAAAGAAGAGTTTTGAACAAGCCAAGCCTATTTATTGAATGTTAATTTTCATAAAACACTTCCTGTAATTTTGATTGTTTCTTGTATAAAGAAAGCAAGATTTATTTACTAAGTAAGTCTTAACATAACAAATTGAAATTCAATTTGTTATGTCAATACGCGATAGTAATAGGATTCGAATTCTCAAATGCATGAAGGCGCAAACGCAAATAAAACAATTAAAAACGTAACTAAACGCTGATTGATTATCAAGAAAAAAAATTTGTAGTTGAACTCTAGAACTTATAATTATAATTTTGTTTGCTTGCTAAATTTTTTTCGAAAAAGTTTTCACAAAAAGCAAACATTGTGTTTTGTTTTAAAAGCAAACATAATTAACCGTTTTAAATTCAATTGATCGAATTAAAAAAAAATAGTGACTATAAAGTTTCTTCTTTAAAAAAGTCGTCTTTTAGTGGCTTCGTTTGCCTAGATGGCAGCACCATCGAATTTCTCGTCATATCAGAATATTATTGGATTTGTTTTTTCCCCTCTTAATCAACTCTTTGCGGTGAAATAATGACATGAGGACACCACACACATTCTAGTATTGCAGAAAATATTATTGAATAGTTTTCTTTCTCTGTCTGTTATCTTCACACAAAAACGTAAGATAAAGTTAATTAATTAAATATCATCAATTTAAGAATTAATCAATTTCATGATTATGTGATGAAAAAAAAATTACATTCTAGTGCAAGCCATTTTTGAACGCTATAATAATGACTCATTAAAAAAAAACTTATTTAAAATAAAAAGCTATTTTTAGTACTACACGTAAGTTAAAAATTTTTTTGAATTCATTCAATACGATATTTTAACAATATTTTATTTCTAAGACGTGTTACAATGTCGGTGCTTTGAAGCAAAACCTAGTTAGTTAAAATTAACCTTATTAATTACTTTAAATCATTAATACAATAAATAAATTATAGTTAACTTCGGCAATACTATATATGTTAAGACGTTTGCCTTCTTTATGTTATAAGTCTCTCACGATCTTGATGTGAAATTGTGCTGTCCCCCTTTTTTGTGGTACCACAGACGATTTAGACTCTAGCGTAATTTAAATACATTCATCTAAGAAAATTGTAAAAAAATACAATAGAAGAATTAAAAAATTTTTTGTATGACATGCGAAAACTGAGCAATAATTTAATATTAATGTAATGACGATGAAATGTAATTAAACAATTATTTTGTAAGAAGATGTTCGAAATCGTAACCTCTAGTAACATTAGAAAGTTCCCGCTGCTTGTGAAACAGGTATAAAATAATCAGAGGTATTAAAATCTTAAATTATTTCTGTTAATATAGCAAACCATTCTTGCTTATACTACTACTGTTAATTCTTTACGAGGCAAAATGCAAATTCCTTTACACCATCTTTACTTTCTATAATACAATTTTATTGAATATTTTTATTACTCAAATATAACTTGTAATCTTAGGTTTTTAATTTTGCATAAAAAAATGCTATTATGGTTTGATGAAAACCGTTGGAAAAGTGCCATTGAAACACTTTCTGTTATATCATAAAAGCGATAGTTTGAAATTTAATTAGAAACTTAAAATTTCCTTTTTTCTTTATAAAGTTAGAAAAAGCTTGGAAAAGTCAATATGTCATATGACAGGTAATATTGAAAAATCTCGTGAATGCGCGTTTGTTTTAGTCCTTTGACACAGATGAGACATCGGTGTGCCTATTATATATTTTTTATCAGGGGCTGTAATTACAAGCAAAAATGTTATTCGGGACTTTTTAATTATAAAATTCAGTCTAATAGTTACCAAAAAAAATCTGTTAGATTACAGGAATTATATTAAAATATCAAAGAAAAAGTAGTTCGAATTTTTCTTTTCTTTTATACTAAAAAAATTATCAATAATTGATTTTGCAAATTAAAGAAATTTCAACTTCTGTTTCTCTTAGATCTAAATAACTGCTGATTAGAAAACAAATATTGTTTAGAAGTGAGTTATGCTTGAAAGATTTTTCCTTTAAAGCAGAAAAACACACCAGTGTTTTATGCTGTATTTCCTAACCATAAATTATTAAAATGCTAAATGTAATATTTTTGAATTAAATTAATGCAAAATAATGAAAAGAGTAAAAAAGATGTGTTTGGAAAATATTCTTCGTCAAAAGGTTTAAACAGGTATTAAATAACAAGTATTAAATAACAAGTATTAAATAACAAGTATTAAATAACAAGTATTAAAATGCTATACTTATTGAACTAAATGTTTTGAAACAAACAAAAAAAACTAATTGCGAAATTAAAAAATAATACACTACCCTTCAAAACAAGCTGTCGTTGTCAATATCCAATCGTCAGATATTAGCGTAGCATCGCATGCGTATTCGTCGTCCTTAAAAAGGGCAACTTGCCACGGCCATTGTCCATGCACAGCTCCATATTTTCCTTCTGGCAAATTGAGTGAAAAACTCCTTGCCACTCTTGAAGAATGAGCTGGTCTCAAACCACAAGCTAAATTAAATAATCAGATTGAGCAAAACATTTTTACATCTTATTATAAAGAATAAATAGTTAATACGAGGGCTGTTTTTTCTAAGTTAAAATTTGAAAATAAGAACCAAACGAAAGAAAATTTTGATGAAGCAAATTTATTTTTTGCTTCTACATACGTTTCTCTTTTCTTTCAAAATAGTTGCTAAGTTTTCTTAAACTCTTATCATGCCTTACAACTAGATTTAGAATACGTTCTTCACAGTAACTTGCCGCCCGCTCCGACAAACATCGACCTAATAACGACAAATAAACGAACCTAAACCCGAATGTTTTCATTGTAGGGAACCACTCAATATTAAATATATTTTAACCCAGTGTAGCAAATTTAAAAGCCAAAGACAACGCCAGTTTGGTTGCTTTAATCCAGCATTGACTTTATTTATTAAAGATAAACCTAAAATAACATTTTTAATTACCCCTGGAACATTCATCTTTAGAAATTGATTTAGCTTTAACTCATAGTAGACTGATTTTCATAAACCAAGTTAAAGGTTCGGTCTGCTCCAATAATTCTTAACTAATTACGTGATAATCCTATCATTAGATGAAAATTTATAAAGTTGTTTCATTTTTTATTTATTTTCCGCATTGCATATATTTAATCTTATGTTAGGTATCTGTATTTAATTTTAGAACCATCATTGAATTGCCAACCCAATTTCGGGTTTATGACTTTCAATGTTCACCTCCATAGCTTTGTAATTTTGAACCTATTCCAGAAGACAAGGGAACTCCTGGATTAAGTATTGGAATAAATTTGCTATTCATGGAGGATTTTTTGATGTAACTCTCATTTGCTTTACACGGAGAGGAAAACCGCGACAACCTCCCATGGTTAGCCCGATGACAAGGGGACTCTAACCCATGATTTGTATACCAATGAAGATATTTTGCATCAGCATTGTGGTCGAGCCGGTTGAGGAATTCGTATCTACCAGCTATAGGGATTCGAACTCGGTTCACCTTATTGGGAAGCGAACGCTCCATCACCTAAATAATCACGTTTCTAGGTACCTGTATAGCCGTATTCTAATTTTAGGAGGCTAATTTCTATTTTTACTTTGTTCCTTTCTAGTTATCATTTTTCTGATAATTTATAACGCCACCGGCAATATTTTTTTGAGAAATTTTTCCGCAATACTTTCTAATACTTTTTCGTAATACTTTCTAAATGCAGAAAATGGTAACGGTAGCGAATTGTTAAATGCTGACAAGATCTTTATTTCCATACGTTGCTCTACTTTTCATGTAAAAACAGTTTCCATAACCTCGAAATACCCCAGTGATATATCATACAAGCAGCATTTAATTAGCATACCTAGTTTTACCTAATACAGTAGCATTTCATTTGATTGTGTGCATTTCATGTTATATAATTATCATTTACTTTTTAATAACATTTCTGCTAAAAAAATCACAAAAATCACTATGTTATATTAATGTTGTCATTTTGGTAACAATGCTTCGTTGTAAAATCTAAAACAAATTTCCTTACCACTTGCACCACATTTGACGTACACCACATTTTGACTGTCACATGATACTTGGACAAACCTGAAAACATATGAATAATTCTTTAAAAAATGCGTGTTATTACATGGGATTTGGAAAAAACATGGGATGCATGAAAGTTATTACATGGGATGCATGAAAATTTAACAAAATTAGGAAAGAGGGGGACAATTGTTCTTAGGCATGGAGCTGCTGCGAGCCCAACCGAAATTTCTTAAAAAAATTATGATGCATATTAGCTAATTTTTTAAAAAAAAAATTCAGAGAGTTTATGTCCAAAAAAATTACAATCTTGTATAAAGGATCTTCAAAAATTCTGCAAAATGTGAGAGGTTTTCATGATCCCACGAAGAGGCCCGTAAAATCCTTGTTCAGCTCTGGATGTAGTCCATTTTCTTCTTCCTCCACTGCACTGCAGCTTTCGTGGGCCCAGCATAGACATACCTCAAGGAGGTATACTGTCTTGAAACAAAACAGAATAGTGTTACTATTAAACGTTATTGTCTGTTTAGGTAGGAATCTTTAGTAAACGTATAAACTGGTTTAAATATAATTTTTATAAATCTAATGAGCAATAAATGAGGATAGCTTAAAAACAAGAACACAATAGAGAACAGGCACCAAGCTTATCTACACGGGTGCTGTGTATTAACTGAGGGAACAAAAATACCAAGCAAAGAGCTGTGCATGCATATGGAGCTACCATTCTAAGGTAAGGTCTCTTAGACCCATGTTCTCTGATAAGATTCTATTTTTTTGATGTCTTTTAAAACTCTTCTGAATTTTTTAATCGAATTTTAGAATATCCTGTTTACCATAATAAATAAATGTATTTCAGAAGCAAGAAACTAGAAAATATTGAATGCTCCCTGATTTTTTATTTCGAGAATCACTCTGCCAATTTAATAACTAATAATTTACCAGGCATTCTTGGCTTTGATTATTTCAGAGTATTAACTTCTAAAGCTTCATCGATGATGATATCGATGATTTTTCATTATGAATCAGTTTTTATAAAATGCTATAAAGCAATTTTTAAAAAAAAAATGCAATTATACTTATTACAGTTTATACTTACGTTACACTTGATGCTAAAGGGTCAAGTAGCTGAACATATTCTGTTTCTACAGCATTCACATCTTTTTTCATTTCAACATTTTCAGTTACTCTGGAAAATAACATGTTTAGTCAAACGTAACAACCAAAATGTCAATAAGTTTTTTTTTTTTTTAATTTTTACCCCTTCATCTTCAGCTGATATTTACTTTTAATAAACCAAATTTTGAAAACATTTGAAAATATCAATAAGCCAAATCATCAATGTAACAAAAGTAGTCAACTATATATCAAAAATATCTGATATAAAGTTATTTAAAGTAAAGATATGTGTTCGACATCTAAAATAATAAAGAAGACTGATATTGTAGAAATAACGATATCTAAAATAATATAAAACGTTTTTAAAAATTTTTCAAAATGTCAAGTAAAATATTTTAAGCAATATTTGAAAGTTGGCCATGAAGATTTTATTTAAAATTTAGCAAACATTAAATTCTGAAGAAAGAATAAATTTCTTTTCTGTGATGCAACTTTTTAAAACTAGCTTTATCATTCATTATTTTCTAATCTGTGAAGGAGATTTTTTTAGGGGAGTAATTAAAAATGTAGTTAAAAAATATCTTACTTTATAAAAACGCTTTGAAACTCAAACAAGCTCCAGAAAGAATGAATCAAACTTCAATTAAATGCTTCTTTTATATGAAATATTTAATAGTTACATTAATTCTCCAAGTCAAGATTGATTTTTTTCATTTAAAAAAATTTCTAACTTTACAAAGAAAACAAAAAGCTACGGGCATAAATTAAATTAAGCTGTTTGCTTTTTTGATTAATTGTCTGAAATATTTACTCTATTTTTTAAGAACCTTCAGATACTTTACTTCTTAATAGAAAAAGGAAATAGATAATCCTGCAATTTTTTTTAATACATTTAAAATTATCTATGTGAAGAATGATTGTAGAGGCAGTTTTTAAATGATTTGCAATTTTATTTAAAAAATATGAATTTTTTGTGAAAGGTATAACTTTTTTTTTCGTTTAATTGCCCATGAAGAAAATTATAAGATTTATATAAAACAGAATAAAAAACTTTTTTTCTTACTGTTCGAGTGGATTTTAATTTAAAACTTCATTTTTTCTCTCTTAGCTAATTAAAAATATCTGACTGCTGCTGTAAAGAAGAATGTTTAAATTAAAACTAATATATAGTGAGGATTGATTTTGGGAATGAAAAAATGAATGTTTGGAAATGAATGAAAAAAATGACTTAGGAAAAAAATGCCTTTTTAAATGGCGAAAAGTTTTTTCATTCAACAAAATGAGTCTAATTCAGGAAATAAGAAATAAAAGTGCGATTTAGAACATTTTTCATTTTTTATGCTTTATTCAATATGTCTTTAACGAGAAGTATGAATAAAATCGTAAAGGAAATATTGGTTCCTAGTATTTATGTATTAATTAAAAGCCATTTTTAATTTTTTCAATTTATATTAAAGTTTAAACTGCCAATCTATAAGCGTTCAGTTTTTTAATTACAAAAACTTATTACATTCTGACTGCGTAACTTTTATAAATGTTTAAGAATGAAATCCTTATACATTTTCAAGCTATTTCTGGTAAAATTGGTAAATAGAATTTTTGGTTTCAAATTTCAACACATTCAATTTTCCTATTTCTTTTTATTTTTTTAATTTTTTTTTTTTTTAGTTTTATAAATTGCAGTTTTCGTTCGAAAATTTTTTAATAGCAAAAATCTTTCTAGGCTTTAAAAAAGTTAAATAAAAACGTTTGGGAAGCTGAAGTCCATTTTAAATACCAATTAAATGTGTCAAAAAAATATTAAATTAATTTTAACTTTTTAACAAATCTTAATTTTTATGAATTTTAACCTTATCGAATTTTCTTTTTGTTCCTTGAGTTATTTTTATTTTTGTGAAAAACAAAATTTTTATAAACATAATTCACAGTTATTTCATACTATAAATCTTTACTTCACGAGTTTGAAACAATATAACCACACATAGCTGTGATGACATGAAATTCAAACCTATACTAAGACTAATATTATGGTACTNTAGTCAGAATTATAATTTATTTTATTTTTTTTAGTTTTATAAATTGCAGTTTTCATTCGTTCGAAAATTTTTTAATAGCAAAAATCTTTCTAGGCCTTAAAAAAGTTAAATAAAAACGTTTGGGAAGCTGAAGTCCATTTTAAATACCAATTAAATGTGTCAAAAAAATATTAAACTAATTTTAACTTTTTAACAAATCTTAATCTTTATGAATTTTAACCTTATCGATTTTTCTTTTTGTTCCTTGAGTTATTTTTATTTTTGTGAAAAACAAAATTTTTATAAACATAATTCAGAGTTATTTCATACTATAAATCTTTACTTCACGAGTTTGAAACAATATAACCACACATAGCTGTGATGACATGAAATTCAAACCTATACTAAGACTAATATTATGGTACTGAAACTTAATTTGTTTGTATCAATCGTAGCTTTGATTTTAAGAAAGTATTCAGTTAATTTTGTTTTCATTTAGTTTATAGTGAATCAATCTTCAACATTTAACGAGATAAGTTGCAAAGCAAGCTAATAGCAATATAATTTATCTTAAAACTATTTTCCGAAATAATATATTACTATCCATTAAAATTACTACATTATGATGGAATGAAAATCACAGAATGATATTTTTTCTCATATATATTTAATATTTTTTTATTTTATAAGCAGCGTTTAACAGACGACCAAATAATTAGTTTACGACTTCCAAAATTCAACTCCGTACCCTTGTAATTTTGAATCCGATTCAGAAGATAAATGATGTCTTAGATCAATCATTGATCAAAAACTAGCCTTTGTAGAGGATTTTATTTTTAATGGAACTAACCCGCATTTGCATTAGATATAGAGGAAAATTTCCTACGGTTAGCCAGAAAGCAAGGTGATTTTACGCATGATCTGTCTACCACTGAGGATATTTTACATCAGCATTATGGTCCAGGAGCAGAGTTTGTATCAACCAGTCACCACTGAGCTTCGAGCATGGGTCATCTCATTAGGAGGGAGAGGAAATCGGCACCCAAATATGGCTTTTTAGAGGAAAATATTTATTCATTTGAGCAGGGATCCAAACAGATATTGCATCGCAGTTTGAGAGCCATGAATAGATAACTCGTGGCCAATTAATTCCAATCATTTATCATTCATCACACGGAAACCATTCATCACACGTTTTCAATTATTTTGAGAACAGGAAACTGGCCACTAAAACTTTCAAACATATTCCATGCTTAGTAAGGCAAAACAATCCTGCAGCCCTATTTATTAAAACTCAGGTTTCAGTAAACAGGCTGTGAATTTCAGTTATACTCTCATACCTTTACTGAAAAACAAACCTGCACCTATTTTTCACAATGTTAAGTTGTTTTAATAATGCTATAATCATTAAACATATTTTTACCGACTGTAGGCGATTCAAATACTTGAGAAATAGTTTCTTGGCAGCTTTTATCCTGATATTAAAGCTTGACTTGGTGATTCCATACATCATAACCTTTTAAAGTTTATTAGTTTGACCTAAAGATCAATTTTAACCAAGTGACTGGCGCAGTATAGCCATTTCTAGCTCTTGTGCAAGTAAACTCCAACGAACCAATTGCAGGCAAATATGACGACGTAGAATGCAATTTGGTAACGTACGTTATCCGCAAAGCTACAAAACATGGATGTGGCCCTCATAATTCTGTATAAAGTCGAGTTAGTCTTTAAAGTTGACGTGCAGCATTCTTGTGACCAGGTCAATCCACTAAGGTCAACAGAGTCAAGGATTATAGAAACCTTGGTTGCTTGGCTGGCATTTCATATTGCTGCAAAAGTAGTCCGATTGTTGAAACGAAACTTTGATTTTTTAATAAATGAATCGGCCACTCGATTCATGGTTCGTGTGTGGTTGTTTGATCCCTTGCGGCCATGGGGATAAGATGTCTACCTTCTCAACTGCTAGAAGTGAAGAGAGAAGCTGAATCCTAGCATGATGCACCCAAACAATTGATTCCATGTTATGTGGACAACTAAGGGTTCTCGGTTGACATTAGCAGCAATATTGCGTTTCAATAAACTGCAACTCTATTAGACTGTAATCTTTCCTCAGTTATAGTGATGCATATGCTGGTAGGCATTTCTTACATGTAACACATTTTTTTCTTAGCTGAAAGTAATATATTATAAACATTCTGTTAACCCTAAAATTAGAAGTGTTAATGAAATTGAAATTGTTATAATGAATGTACTGAAAACTTAATTATTTGCATATCACACGATGTTAAAATTGCATGAAAATTTCACCAATGTTGCATATTATCTTCTTAATGTAACAATGTTAATGGTCATCGGTGCAATTTTTCTTCATTTCGTAAATTTAAAAAATACCAGATATTCGCCAAGATGGAAGAAAAAGGTTAAAAGAAAAATCAAATTCAATCCAGAGCAGAATGGTATTAAATTCAAAATTATTGATAGTTTACCAATTTAAAAATTAATCTATTTTGAGGAAGAAATGAATTCTAAAAGATTTATGAAAACATTTTTAAAAGTAACACAGTTACAACTCTACCAATTAAAATCCCACCACCTTGGACAAAAGTTGAAACAAAACATAACAGCGCTCGAAGAGATTTTTTGTTTAATTTTTAACAATTATTATACTAAAAAAAATTAAATCCTATTAACTTACTCAAAATTGAGAGCAGAGCATGTCGATACAGCAAGACTTTGTAGGATAACATCTCTCCTCGTAGCAGGCAAACTATAATTGAGATTGTCAGAACAAATTCTGGCATTCTCACCTGAATCTGAATACAGAAGAAACCCTGAACTACTGTATGTGTAATAACTTTCTCTTGTTCCCCAATTGCTTGGACTGATGGACACTACATAGATATAAATATGCAGGATGAGTAATTATTCAAGTTAATTATAGTTTAAAAACATAAGCAGTATATTGACATTTATTTACGTAACACCCGACTTAGTTCACTATGATTTAGAACAAGTTGCTTATCGATTTTTTTTATTTATTTTAAAATCTAGCAATTCCACCATTTCGAATGTAGTATTTGCAAACTTAAAATACAGATAATTGAGTTAAAGTTACAGTTTGAATTTAAAAAAAATATATAATAATGACTGTTGTTACATTTCCTTTAGTTTGAAATTCTTATAATTTTAAGTAACTTTCATTTTTAATTTTTTAATTAAAAATTAATTCATATACATGTTTTGATCAAAATTTGAAAAAAAAATAAAAACTGACTGTTGTGGAAACCAGACGTGCAAATCTGTTTGCTCCTCAAAAAAAGAAAAATCCAGTAGTAAAACTAATGAATTTTAGATTTCTTAAAAAATAACGTGAATGATTTTACTGTTTTTAATTAAAAAAGTACAATTTTCTCCCCAAACTTTGTTTCCTTATATTATGCCATAACTGTTAATAGGTCTTGGTTGTCAGGGATACTTCCTAAAAAACAAGGTTGATAGAAACTGGGTCTGCTACCAGCGTTTTTTTCTTTTTTTTCTGGACACGATTTTCCAATCCATGGGCATTTAACGACCCTCTCTCCGATTTCGCTTTTTCTTAAATAACAAAAGCTTGATTTCCGACTCTTTCACCTCAAGTCAATTTTAAAGCAAATAAAAGCTTGTTATTATAATTGTGGCCAACTATAGCCAAGAGAAAAGTCTCCAAGTAAGCTAGTGAGTCGTTAAAGGCCACTGTATTGTAAATTAGCTTCCGGGATGCAAACAGACCTGCACATTAAATAATATCCAAAACAAAGTTTCGTTTAAAATTTAATTAACAGTTTTTTGAAAAATTAAATTTATGATATTTAACAAAAATTGCAATAGTGTAAATAACACTAACTGTTTTTTCAACAAAAAATCACCAAAACTGTTATATTTTTTAGATATAATATGCAAATATTATGTCTGTATTGACAAAATTTACCATATAACAGTTACTGAAAAAATATTTTTTGTTTAGTCAGAGTTATAATTCCAGAATTATACTTACTACAGTTTCTTTCGTCAATTCCGTTCATACAATCTTCTCTAAGATCACATCTTCTGTCTTTATCCACACACTGACGATCACCGCAAATAAATTGTCCGGGCTTACAGTAGTCTACGAATGAAAATAATAATTGTATTATGCTTAGCTTAAAGTAATAAATTAAAAAAAAATGTATATTTCAGATAAAATAAATAATTCCGTAAGAAAAATACCCATCAAAATTAAAATTAATGCAAATCGGAGGAATCAAGGTGAAAAATCAAAAGTAAATACTGTAAAAAATTTTGGTGTATAGTTGCCGTCCTTATTGGAGAAAAAGGTAAACTAACATTTTTGGTGTATAGTTGTCGCCATTTTTGGAGTTAGGGTAAACTAAAGGTTTTTACAATGCATGTAGTTACATAGTTTATTTACTTTTTCACTGTTATATTTTTATTTAGTCATTTTTTGTTTGTTTATTGGGAAAATTTCATGTGCATTAGAATTAATTTATAGCTCTAATGCAAAAACATTTTGTTTAAAAAACAAGCACACTTTTACCATTATATTCCCACTAATTCTTTCAACCAATTGTTATTACGTCAATTTTATGTAACTTTTCGCATGATTACTACAGTTCTATGCTTAACAATGTATTTAGTCTTCCTCAACGCCAAAAATGATGGCAATTACATCCAAAATATTTTTCAGCGTACAGTACACGCTGAAACCCTAAATTTAATTAACCTAAGTATTTTCAAAAATAACCAAGAAAAAAGAAATATATTTTTAAATTATTTTAATGATATTTTAGCAAGAAAGTTCTTTTCAACGTTGGTAAAACGGAATGGTCAGAAATTATCATTGCTCAAACCCAAAATGCCGAAAATTTTGTATAATTGCATGAATATGTATTATGAACTATTAAACATCTATAACAATATGATATTTATAAAAATGTATCAAGATCTTTAAAATTCGATAATGTTTCATTTTTTTCAATTAAATTTTTTTCTGCCTTTTTTATTTATTGTAATTAGTTTCTCATAATAAAAAATATGGTGGCAACCAAACACCAACATTTTTTGAAGAGTATAATGAAAATAATAAAATATGATTGAAGTTATGAAAAAATATGTTTTTATAGCAGGATTATCAAGTTATCTAATCTGTGATATGTTATTAAAGTAATCAACCGTTTCTGATTAATTGCATGATATTACGGGTCATTGAAATTTCATACTATTATAAGAAAATCATTAAAAATGTTTTGTGTAATGAGAAACAAAACTATTATTAGCGTTACTTAAGAGACATCCTTTGAAAGAAAAAAAGAATAAAAAATGTAAACATTAAAATCTAGCTTACATAGTTTGTCTTTAAAAATAAAAAACTTGAATGTTCGGCACATTTTCTCATAAATATTCTTCATTTATACACCTTTTTTAACATCATTTATACTTTTTTAATTGCTTAATCGCTTTTAACACATTTAAAAAATTTTAAATCCTAAGCAATTCTTAAAAAGTTCTAAAAAAGGGCTTTATTATCATTTCTAAATCTATAATTTTTCTTCAAGATTTCAAATTCTTAAATTGTTCTCAGTTTTTATTTTTGGTGTTAGTAATATTATTAAGTGTTTCTTAGATGTGATATTCTTTTAAAACTAAACCATGCACGAAATTTATGTTCTTTTTATTAACTCCATTGTTCTGCAAGCATATTAGAAATTGCGAGTTTTTATTTATATAGGATTTTGCTTTTTTTTTCCATATAGTAATTTTCCTTTGCTTCAGAATTGCTAGATGCGCATTTTGCTTTTTTTTTGTTTAGTACTCGTGACTATATCATTAAGTGTGACTATTTTAGTTAAAAATATTGAGTAAGTGGTTTTTATCAATATTATTTTTACTGATTATATATTTTATAAGTTCTACAAAATCTAAGAAAAATGATGAAAAGAAAGAAAAATAAAAAAATTATGCATTCCATGCTCTAAATAAATAAAAAATGATGTTTAAAATCAATTAAAATGTCTTCACGTACAGCTGAATATTACGAAAAATTTTACTAGTTTGAATATAATCAATACTGTTTTTATACGAAATCAAAATCTGATTTCGATGTAAAATAACGCAAATGCGTTGAAATATAAGTTAATTAAAATTTGTCAAACTTGATAAATTGCAAATAAATGTTATTTATATTTAAATAAAGTTATAAATAAATGTATTATTTTTTAATTGCATACATTTATAAACTTCGGAACGTTTTCTTTTTATTTTTAGACATAGTAATGCGAGGATATCTAAGAGCTATATTATCATACAAATATATTTTGCTCCTCGTTGTAAAAAGAATGTTAAAATTTAATTCTATATATTTTTGGCACCTATTTTCCGAAAATTTCAATTATTTGTGAAAATTAGTCACACTTAAAAATTAAGTAAATTTCCTTTTGGAAAAAAAAAATTGGATTTTTTAAAAATTTTACTGGCAAATCCGTTCAAAGAACTAGAACAAATAAAGTCAGTATTTTTTCTAAATTCTCGGTAATTTTTAAAAAAAAATTGCTCAAATTAACTTGATATTTTATCAATAAAAATGACATTATTATAGCAGATGAAAAAAATTTTGTACTCAACATTTCTAAATAATAAAATTATTAATTTAATTAAAAATAATAACCTGAATTTGGAAGGGCTCCACTTTATAAGCTCATTTTTGTTTAAATATTAAAACTATCATAGTCAACCACATTTTTAATAAAAATTTAACGCGTTTAACTTTTTTGATAAAAATTTATACTTATTTTTTATGAGTCGCCTCTAACTAAAGTAGAAATCTGTCAATGTAAAACAAAAATCTAAGAGTTGAATTTTAATACTTATTGCCATCTAAAGCACTAATTTAAGTAATAAATAACATCCCAACAGTTATAATTATTTTCTTCATAATTGTTCCACCGCTATTATTTCTGAAGAGCACTTACAAAAATCAATTCTTTTGACCAGGCATGCAAGATTTTTAATAAATAAAATGCTTTTTCTAAGTGGTTCTAAGTATTCATTATTTTTTTAGGTAAATCTTTAAGTGGTTATCGAAATTTATGCATAAACTTAGCAGAATAATTTGCAAATGTAGCGTAACTTACCAGGGTATCATTCACGATATTCTGTTAACCAAATGTGTGTTTTTTTCGACAGTATTCCTTTTCGATAATGAATTTTCACAGTGTCATTCAATTTGAATTTACCAGAGAAACACAACTCATGTTTCAAAGTTTCTTGAATCTTTTTGACAAACTAATTAATGGCACCTTGACTTAAAATCCGGAAATTTTAGTATAACTTTAGTATTATGAAAAGTCAAAATTCGAAATAAAGAATATTTAGGGTGTTCTTACCACAGTCTGTTTCATCTGAAGAATCTTTGCAGTCTACAACGCCATCACATATTCTGTCCGACATTCCAAGGGCTCGAAGCTCATTAGAGCATCCTAAAATAAACATTTAGTTAAAGGTATAGTGGAATAATTAAATGTCAAATAAATATTCTAGTGATAACCATATTTTCCAAAGCTAATTAGTTCTTTTTTATTTCCCCAAAACTCCATCGAACTAGATAAAATAATAGTAACTATTGTTTGACTTAAAAAAAGCGAATTCTTAGACATCACAAAGCGAATACCGTCTAAACGTGAAAGACAGAACAGAAAAAAAAAACATCTCGGTATCATTTCTATAACCCAACTAGTAACAAAGAATAAGAAGGGAAGATTTATTAGTTAAGAATTGAGTTGATTGTTTCATACACTTGAATGATCCTTATAAATTCTACCTATTTAAATTTGTGCATTTTTAAGTATTGTCTTCATACTTACATTTGGGAGCATACTTTCGTCATATACCCAAATACTTGATCTTGCCCAACTGAAATTTGTTTTGCTTTTAAAACCGCGTATTTCTTAAATGACATTTTAGTCTTTTTTTTGTCAAAATGCACATGTTTAAAAACTTTATATATAACAGGGGGTAGCGTAAAAGTTGCGACAAGCTTTTGGGAGAGTTAGGCACATCATCAGGACTAAATTTGCATTTGAACAGTTCCGGGAATCGGTTCCAAACACATGTTCATAAAAGGAAAAGACCCCTAGCGACGTATGACTACATTTCTGAGCATGGGTTCCTATGCAATTTTAATCCTGATGGCGCGCTGCAATTCCCACAGAAGTTCATTGCAACTTTTACGCGACGCCCTGTTGTATGTAAAGTTTTTAAACTTATATATTTCAACAAAAAAATTCCCTGAAAAAACATTAAAGCTCGGAGAGAAACCATTTGCAGATTTGAGATAAGTGACGTAAAAATATCCTAGACCCATTTTAAAAATCTCATGCTATAAAAAACAAATGACAACATTTGTTCAACAGTGTTGTCTATATTTTTGAGAAATAAAAATCACATTATTTATTGTCTGAAAAGTTGATTTTCGCAAATATTTTATATTATTAATATTTTGTGATTCAGGGCATTTTTTTGTGCATTTATTAAGTGGTATTTATTAAATGAACAAAGAATCATAAAATTATAATTCTTGTAACCGCTTTAATCATACAGATATTACTTTCATAATTTCAAAAAGGTACATAAAATGTAATAATTTTTTACTACTATTTTTACCCAGGATTACAGTTTTAAAAATATATTGCTTCTCGATTTATTATCTGTGTGAAAACCACTAAAGTTGTTGTTCACATGCTTCATCATCATAAAAAAAACAAATTATATTGAATTATACACTGATAAATCCATAGTTAAGCCCAGTAAAAGTTTGTACTTTACTTCTCTAGCTACTTACAAATTACAATATTGTCGCATCGAAAGAAACAGATAACTAGTTAACTGTTTCAGATAACAGATAGTTATCTGTAACAGGTAGTTATCTGTAACAGATGGCAGATAATTTCTGGCATACATTAAAACTACAAGGTAACTGGCGTTTTCACTTGAAACGTATAAACTTATGTAGAACATAAAAAGGAACTGGAAATTATGCAGAATTAAAAAAAGGAAATGTTATAAGAGGTTGTAGAAATCTGTAGAAGACAATCAAACAATGAATAAAATCTCAAACAGCATATTTGCAAAGGAGAATAAAGCTTCTGTTGTTCCGACTTTAAATAAAATATTGCTGAAGCCGAAGGCAAAAGAGTCTCTGAAGTAAATTTTAATAGTATGTTCGTACTAGGCAACATATTGTTTTATATACACTTTTTATGTATTTGAATAATATTTTAAGTTAATTAAAGGATTTTGTCCTTAAAAGAATCACCTTAAAAATGGTGGGAAACATGGCATAAACACATGAAACCATACAGCTATGAGTCACAGACCAAAAAGAGTTCATATTGCCGAAAAGCGCATGTTTTTAAAAATTTGAGATTCTCAAAATTCGTGGTCTTTTCATTTGGTTCTTCTGAAGAAAGACGGAAATTGGTATTTTTGAATTGATAACCAGCAATTAAATAATCGAACCAGAAAAAAAGATGTATATTCGGTATCCAGGGTAGATGACGTATAAGATTAGTTGAAGAACGTAGCTTAAGTTTCACCGATGGACCTATTTTTTGGATATTGGCAAGTAAAAGTTGATGAAGGTGATCGAAAAAAAATTGCATATGTCACTTTTCAAATAGCAGGCATTTTGTCCTTGAGGACAAAAAAAACTGTATTCAATCCAGTTCTCAGAATAGTAAGTGTAGTAGATCGTGATATGCAATCAAATAAAGTAATGTAACTGCATAAAAAAACAACGAACAAGTAAGTTATAAAAACTGGATTTAAGATAAAAAATTTTAGAAATAACGCACAGAAATAAAATTCTATTTCGTTACATACATTATGTTACTCTTTGAATTCAGTCTGTTTATCTTTACATTGTAATGAGTATAATGGCGGTGCTAGAAAAATCTAAACTTCTTTCCATTTCCTATGAACGAAATAGAATCTTTTGTTACTATGTATTTCAATGTTTCTTCGAAGAAAACTCGGCATGCCGTTCCCAGATTCGAATTAATGTATTCGAATAAAATGTTTCCATTTCCCTGGAAAGCGAAAATCAAGAATGAGGAATTTATGGTAAAAATAAATTTTACATACGAAGCAGTAGCGACTTCAATTTCAGGGATTTTTCTAATAATGATATTTATTCTTTAGCTTCTATACTGAGAGCTGGTATGAATGAAAAAGTTTCAGAATCCAAACTACTGCTGAAGAAAAAATATTCAAGACAAACATAAGATATGTAGCCTGCTTTGAATGAATTTGGTGAAATGTCAGCTGAAACTTTATAGAAAGAAAGAGTTAATACCTAGTAATATTTGTCCTTTTTTTTCCCCTTTCAAGAATATTGAAAAATTTGCAAGTCGAAGGAAGCTTATACTCTAAAATAAAATATTTGTTGGCATCTGTTGTTCACGATATGAAGTTTAGTTAAGATATTTTTTTTGAAACTCTTTAAACATTTTAAAATGAAAACCATGTTTTCGTGCAAAAAATGAGTGTTTGTGTGGTATAATACCAAATGAGCTAGATCTTAATTAACTTGCTAATATATTATTTTACGTTGGAATCGAGGATGTTAACTAAATTTAGATGAGAACTAAACTGATTTCAGGGTATAAGTCAAAGTACTCAAATAAGTCTTTATGTGCCATGCAATACATTTCTTATTGTTTGGCGCAATATATATAATAAAGAAATATAAACCACATTATTACACAGCGTTGATGCACTACAAAATCTTGTTAGTAAATATCATAAAAAAGTGAAATGAATAAATGCGTTAAACAACATTTCTATATACACTCATTTCCATAAAAAATTGCGCACCTGAAAGAGTTGTCAGAATGAAACAAAAATTTACATGAGCAATGATAAAATCATGCAAATGATTAAAAAAAATCCAAAGCAAAATGATTATTTATTGCGGGAAAAATGCAAATGAATGGAAATTTCAGCACCTTGGTGTGCCACATCTAGCATAAGTACACACATACGAGACCCCTATGATGTCCAGCAGCGTCTCATCCCACAGATGCTGTGAAGACACTGCTAAATCAACTGAAACCTAAAGTTGTCAGATTTGTCGTCTTAAGTGGCTCATGGCCCATGTATGCTCGTTTGATGACAGATCTGGGGATTGAACAGGTCAGTGTAACACGATAATGTTACAGAGGCATTTCTGTGACACCCTTTCTGTATGTGTCTAAGCATTATCTTGTTGATAAATGGCTCCTGGGAGCTCAGCTATGATTGGCAATACATGTTTCTGGAGCATGTCGCTAAAGTACCGCTGAACTGTCATAGCGATATGAATCAATATAAGGGGAGATCATGTGTGCCGTATGTGATAACATCCAATACCATAACATCAGCTATGGAAGTAGTGTTGTGCTGAACAAGGTAGTAGGATTGACACTCACGTTGACTCTGTTTGGAGTGGTGTTGTTCTCAACGGGATATGACTGCTACCAAGTGGAACCAAGAGATCTCCAGTAATAAAGCAATAAATCAAAATTTAATTTGAGGAGTTAGAGCCATCATGTCTGAGTCTAGAGATCCTGCGGTGAGTGCTTCAATCCTACCTTTGCTGTCACTACTTCTACAGCTGGTGTAATGACATGAAGTGCTATTGCATATGACGCTAAATTACCCTTATTATTGATCAATGGCACCATAACAATCCAGCGGTACATGTGTTGCCATTCCATGGCAGGTCTTCCAGGAGCCCCTTTTCAACAAGATAATTCTTAGCCACACACGACAAAAGTATCCCATCATTGTTGTAGCAGGTATGTCTCCGTCACGTTACTACCCTTTCCTGACCTGCTTGATCCCCAGTTTTGTTATCGAGGGATCATATCTGGGGCCACTTCGGATAGCAAAATGGACAGCCTCCTGATTTAGTAGATTTAGTGGCATTTTTAGCAACTATGGTACGAGATGCTGTAGACATAAGGTATTTTAATGTCTTAGGGCACTACCATATCGCATCTTACATTTGCACTTGAGATGATCCAAGAGCATACTAAAACTTCCACTCATTTATATTTTTTTCAGCTGTAAATGCAAATTTTGCTTTGATGTTTTTATCACTTATATTGACGTTGCACTTATGTAAATTTTTGTTTCATTTTGACAACCTTCTTTAGGAGAGCTAATTTTTATGAGAATTAATGTAATTTCGCCGTATCTATTTCATCTATTTTCGTTCCTTTTCTCCGAAATATTTATTTTTACTTTCCAAAATTCAAACTTCTAAAAAACGTCTTATTCTATAAAAATTTATATTCAATTTTCGTTTTGCAATATTTTAGTATTTAATTTGAACTGCTTTTATTGAAAAGAATTTATTAAGCAGGAGTCTATTAATCCAGATAATGATTAAGATTTTGGATTATCTGGATGAATCTAGATTTTGGAAGATGATATTTTTAATTTTTGTCACCAGCAAACGACTGCATAACTTTTGCAATATTGCAACATTTTTGATTCGATTTATTTTCTGACCCAGTGTTTGAAATTTAAATTAAGACAACAGTATTTTAACTGTGCCTTCCCGACGTAAGGAATTTTACTTGGAGACAGAAACCATAAAGTCATTTAACCACCTTAAAGACATTTGATTTTATAATTCGATTCAGTTCAAAGTTTAACAATTTGACCAGTTTAACTTGTTACATTGATTTTGCCCAGATTGCTTCAAATTTAACCCTGTGGTTTAACCTGATTTTAACCAAGTTATATGAACTTTTAACCTAGTTTTAGGAGCGGTAAAGCCAAATCGTGGCTCTTGCGCTAAATATTTACATCACTCACTAACTTGACTCCCTTTAGGAAAAATGATTGTAATCCTTAGATAAATAGATGCTGGATTTTTCTCACCGAGTGTCATTTCATTTTCCTTTTTTATTTTTAAATCAGAACTAATTTTTAAATCTATTTAATTTCATTACATTAAACACACCACAATTTCCGTGTTTGCTGCAGGGCAAAAAATTTTGGTGTATAGTTGCCTCCATTTTTGGTATTGAGATGAACTAAAATTCTTTACAGTGCATGTAGTCACATTTTTATTTACACTATTGTAGTCATTTATGTTCTTATATTATGTTTTATGTCATATTAGTTTGTTACTAATGTATCATATTTCTCAGATCATTAGACTAAATTTATGACTTCATTGCAAAAACATTACGTTTAAAAGACAAGCACATTTTTAGTAATATATTTGTACTTATTCCTTTAAACAATTGTTAATTTTAGATAAGTTATTGCATATTCACTACAATTTTCTACTTAACAATATATTTAGTTTAGCTCAAAACTAAAAACAGTGGCAATTATACACCACATATTTTTACGGTGTACATTACGCTCTATAACCCTAAATTCAACAAACCTAACTACTTGCAATCTTTATCATTTTAACGATATTGCTTCTTTTTCAACACTAGTAAAATAAAAGAGCCAGAAAGGATTCTTCTACAAATTCTCAAAAAAATCCAAAATTCGAATTGCAAAATTTTGAACATTTACATATATATACATTACGCGTTATTAAATGTATAATATCAAAGTTACAGACGATATTAATTAAAATATATCGAGAGTTGTCAATTTTTAAAAAAAGTTTTAAACTCGAAATCATTTCTTCGAATTTTTTAAATCTTATCTGTGTTGAACATAATAAAAGTTTGAAAACAATAAAACAAAAGTCAGAAAACTTTCAGGCCACGGAACATTTAAAGATAGCTATTTTTTATTTGAGTAATTATGTTTTGTAACCATTTTTCATCAGCAATTATATGTTAACAAGGAATGAGAGAGAATTAAAAAAAAATTGTTAATATGGTAACCTTATCACATCCACAGTCACGACTTTTTAAATATATTATTTTATCTTTCCTAATATAAAAAAAGAATACGGAGAACAATGAACGAAGAAACTTCTCATAACTATATTTCAGCCAATGTTTGTTTTGTAACTTAAAACAAAGTTTTGAATGATGTCGTTTAGCACGTTTTGGACACCAAAATGCAATTTACTACTTTTTTGAATGGATCCACAAAGATTGTTTTGACTGCAAAAAGAAAAAAAAAACTTCTTTAACTGCATAATAAAATTCCCAGATTGCATTTCGCTTAAAACCGAGCTTATTTTTTTCACAACTTTCTTCTTTCATGGCTATTCAACTCTTAATAAATGGTTATAAAGTCGGGGCATAAAAAATTTTATTACCGATTTATTTTCAACAAATATTTCGTCGGTGGTTAAGAGAGCGCGTTTGTATTTCGTTTCGCACCCTTTTGTGAGGAAATAACTTGGGATTCAGGGCTCTGAAAACGATCATGTAATGGAAGTTTAGAGGTGCCAGCTAAAATTTCAATATACCAATTTTCTCATAAATTTGATTTAATTATCGAATAATGAATTCGCGTGGAGAAAGTTAATTTGAATTCAAGGCTGGTTTTTGATGCTGGGTTGCATTATTCTAGCTTTATATAGCTTTGGTTGAAAGCAATAAAAATCTATACGAACTCCATAAATAAGATTTAGAAATATACATTAAAAGTAATAGTTGCTGTAGCATTTTTTTTCTTTTAAAGCAATGAAAGTTTAATGTTGCTTTTATAACTTTATATAGATTATTTTTTATCCAGCTTTTTAAAGTTCTACCAGGTCTATTTTTAGTATTTTTTAATTGTTTTAGAAAAGTCTATCTTATTTAAACATTAAAATGTAACAAAATTTGTTCAAAAAGTATTGAAAAAACTGTTACTAAATATATAGTCTAAATGATACTTTTTTAATTATTTTTGTTTATTGGGAGTATTTTTCAATGGTACACAGAATACGCCATAACTAAGGCCTCCGATGCATGCTTTTAGATTTTTTGTCGAAAACAAAGGCAGAAAAATCAACGCCATAGGAGTTGCAGATTAAGATAAAATAAAAAAAGAGATATCAAAATCCGACGAATCATTATTGAGGAAAATTAGGATCAAAACATCAAAGAATTGATTAGAATAAAAATTGAGAAGACGTGAGACTGGAAGAAACACTCTCGGATGTCATTGGACAATCAAACTCTCTTTGATGCTTTTAATTATGTTTTTTAGTGTTAATATAAAAGCAAATATAAAGAAATATCTATCCAACGAAATGTTAACGAGGAATATTAGATTAAAAACTTCAAATGATGGATTAGATTAAAACTGAGAATAAGTGATAGAGACTATTAGAAGCACTTTTAAGTGTCATTAGACAAACTTATTATGATATTTTTATTCCGTTTCATTCAAGTGCTCATGTGATTTTGATAAGGTTTTTGTTTTTTCCAGCTTGAATATTAATTTTCTGACGCTAATGAGCATACTTTTTTGATTCGTATTTTAGTAAGGATTCTTAAAATATATGAGTACTTCTTACAGTGAACTAATCGTAAGTTACAGTTCCCAGTAAATCATAAAAAAAAGCATCTCTGGAAAAATAGAGTGAGCGGTGGGGTGAGCACTTTGAAAAGGGACAGAGGGTGCACGATATCTGTACTCATTAAACTATTCTACCATAAAATGATAAACGTCGTATTTAGGTCATCGGGTTGCAAATCAGAGGAGCCATCTCATCTGCAGAAAATCAAAATTGTTGTGGCAGGTCTTCGGATCATCCTTGGGGATGTTTTCCAGACCGTCGCCAATAGCCCAATGTACGACTCTAGTGTGACATAAATAAAGTACTACTACTCTTAAAATATGCATAGAGGGTGGGTAATACGGACCTCATTTTACAGGGGTGTTAGTATATCGTTATCTATAATGTTGATAAATAATAAGGCTGACCAACGCTCCGTCAAAAACAAACGGTAGTAAAGTTTTGAAAAGGATGTTCGAAAACTTACTGCTTTTTTTTCTAATATTCTGAAAACAGAATTTCCTGACAGATATAATTACTTTGAAATGTTTGGGAAGATTAAGCGGAGAGTTTTAGAATGTTCTTTTAGAAGCGTTTCTCAGTTTTGTCGGAGTTGGTGAGCTTAAAATAATGTATTTGAAAAGTAAATTTCACGTGCAAGCAATGATTCATTGCTTTGAGGCTCTTATCTTATGTTACTTTTTCGACTTTACTTAGCTTAATAGCTAATGTTCAAAATATGAATGCTAATTTTCGTTATTTTTAAAACAATATAAAATATTTAAATCATAATTTTAAATAAAATTCATATTGCCAAAGAGAAGATTATATAGATTGTGATTGTCATTCTTTCTTCATTTTAAGTACACTAAACCTATGAAAAAATCGAGTGATATTTCACGATATTACTCCGTTAAATGTAGTGTCTCCGTTTGATATCGTTACAGCAAATTCGTAATATTGCTTTTAGAACGGCACATCATGCCGAATATCATGCTCGGATCATTAGTATCTATTTAAAGCCCAATTCCGTTTAATATGAATAAAACTAAGACTCTGTTTTCATTATTTTGTGTAATCTTTTCAATGCTTGGAAAAAAAAGTTTTACTTTAAATCTCCAAAATCTTTAAATGTAAAAATTATTAAACGACTTTTATCGTTTGCAAAAAAAAAAAAAAAGTTAAAAAATATTAACGGAGATTGAAATTTGCTAATTAGCTGTAATAGCGTGATTTCTAAACCAATAAAAAATATTTATCAATAATGATAAACTTACCTGGCTTTTGTTGGCATGTTCCATGGCCGCTATATTTTGGAAATTTTGAGCAATCCAATTTTTCTATAACCTTTTTTGGCAACAACCGTTTGCATGATTTCCAAAAATCTGAAACAGATTATATATATATATATATATATATATATAAGTACAACCATAGCTCATTAATAACCGTATTTATTTATTAACCATATTGAATGGACACNTATTATGCGATATATATATATATATATATATATATACTAGAAGCATAGAGAAAGTAATTTATATTTGCAACCCATAGATTCAAAATTGATTAAAATAATTATTACTAACCTCAGTAAAAAAACTAGGTTGGAGCAGAAACTATATTCTCTTGCTAACTATATAATTGCGACTATAATACTTTGTATTTTATAAAAACAGATAAAAAGTAAACAAAAGATATCCATTTTCACGATTTTTACAATTTCAAAATATTCAATTAAAGGAAAAGGAGTTTTTGTCACAAAAAAACTTACATCGTATTGAAGAAAATCTAAATTTTTCTTATATAAAATAATCGTGTTTTACGCTTTTCCGGTTAAAATTACAATAACAGTGTACATCATGAAAAATGTCCTTTAAATGAAAATATATTTCTACTCAAAATTAGGAATTTAAAATGTTTTGTTTACCAAATACCGATTTTCTTAACTTTTACAATTTAGCTTGGCGACTTTACATTTTTGAAAAAGAAATGAGCTTATATTGACGATGAGTCTGTCGCAAACTTGGTGACCATTTTGATAATTTTTGATGTATTTATTCGATTAAAGTTTCATCTACCTTCCCGAACTTTCCAGGCTCTAGTTACAAAAATAGGTGAGCAATTCACGAAATCATTAGAAACTTTGTGCCTTTTTTCGTATGTGATTGACTAGTTTGGTTTTTATGTATGAATTGCTCTCCTTTTATTATGCAGAATTAAGGAAAAGGACAAAAAAACTGCTAATTTGTTATACAGTGTAATCCATTTTTTTTCCTAAAAAATCTAAAAATGTATTTAAAAAACTGAAGATGGACATAAAAATATAATGCATTTTTTTAAAATTTCTGTGTCAAATAAATTAAAATATTTAATTTATTGGGTAGTTCGAGAAATTATTTTCGTTTTTTTCCAAACAAAGAACTTGGTTGTATTTTTTCAGGGCAATTGCATACTTTATCTGCATATTCATTACATATTTTGACAGCTGATAGAGCAAGGTTTGATTGTGAAAAAATTCGATTCACGCAGAAAAATTGATTTCACGCAGCAGTTCTCGATTGGTGATCTTTCAAATATGGTAAGGGAAAAGCAGAATTTTTGGCATATTTTATTTCTTTGCTTTCGAAAAATTAAAAAATGCCGTTCAATGAGAGAGAAAAAATTATCCAATTTTTATGGAGAAGATATATTGGCAGTACGCCAGACCCAAAACTGGTTTGCGAAATTTCATTTAAATGCATGATGATGCAACACGCCAGTTTAAGCTAATGAAGACACAATACGGCATTTATGTAAACCGGGCAATAACAACTTATTAGATCGCTGAGATATTAAATATATGAAATTCTACAGTTTATAGCCATTCGAAACGGTTAGGTTCAAACTCAAAGCTCGACACATGTTTTACGGAAAGAAATTTAAGATGTTATATTAGCGTATGTGATTTGCTTCTCAAACATCAGGAAAATTATAATTTCTTGAAGTGCATCATCATTGGGGACGAGAAATGGAATGACGACAATAATGTTCTGATTTCTACAGAAAATGTTTAGATGGTGAAACCTTAACTTCAAATAACGAGGTCAGAAATCCTCTAATTCAGATTTTGCAAGCAAATATCAAAACTTTTATGCACATGAAATCATATAACAAGAACGCAAAATGTATTGGACTAAAATTGACAATATATGATGCAATAAAATGTTTATTTACTACGAGAAAATTGCCTTTAATTTTCATAACAAAAAACGAAATCACAATATTATTAGTCACCAAGATGGAAAACAAATTGTGTCTTATTTATATAAACCAATAAAAGTTAAGAAATGATTTCTTACCTTCACAAAAATCTTTACATGGCATAATTATATCATTAGATCTGCATTCCGGCTGAAGTAGCTGGCAAACAAATTCCTGAGCAAGTGGATAACATTCAAAATCAAGAATCTGTCTGAAAGTAACTAAATCATTCAGTACTTCTGAGATGTTATTGTGTCCAACGATGTTTGGATATGATGTTAAATTAAATGGTAGAGCATTGCAAAATTGTACTTCAAGTGGTGTGCACTGACGTGGAGCGATTCGAGCTAAATTGGAGCTAGGGGTCGTGGTCAAACCTTCCACATAACCAGGATATTGACGTCTTGGAACCCATCGGTCAAGGGCATCATCTACAGGGGGTTTTCGTTCTTTAAAAGGAAAAAGAAAATTTCAATTTTTTTATGCAGGTCGATATTGTTCTGGTGGATAAAATAAGAATAAAACTTTCAGAAAATTTTGAATTTAGAGATTTCACGCATATATTAAATGTAGGTATTGATAGGAGAATGTTTTTTTTAAAAATCTTTTAAAAAATTTTTTTACTTTTTTTTTACGGCAGACACTGAACTTGTTCTTCAGCTCGGAAGATGCCGGGGAAGTTGCTCATTTATCGTTACCCAGAGGGCGCCTGTGAACCTACGTCACGGAGGCGAGCAACATTACCCACGCCACACTGCCACAGATGTCAGGTGGGCCACATTCACACAACAGAGAACAACACAGCGAGAAATAAACATCTGAGCAGGATTCGAACCCGCAACCATTGGCTTCACAGTCAGGCACGCTGACTGCGCGGCCACCTGACTGTCATATTTGAATGTAGTTTGATATGCTTGCCAGAAAAACAACAAAATTCTGAAGTACCAAGAAATTGATGCTTTGGTAACCTTCTAAATTACAATTTAAGCTCATCTGTGTTTTTCTTTTGTCAATTATCTCATATTTAGTAGTCACAAGAATTGAGTTAAAGATAATATGGTAGCCTTAATGATCAGTATACAAAGTATTTTGACAATTTCACCGAAAAATGAACATACGCAACCTAAGTGCACAAGATCGACATAGATCCTAACGAACCTTGGATTCAACAGCAAAGTTTTAACCCTTTGACACAGAATTTTTATTGAACATATTTTTCATATTTTGTCTTAATTTAGGTAAATTGTGAAAAATATTATATTTAGCACTTTAATGCTTATGGTTATGAAACATCCGTGTCTTTGTCTGTATTAAAGGTAAAATCTTCCAAATAATAATTTTTCAAATTTTTAGTTCTTTAGATCTAAGAGAAACAGTTATTCTTCATTGAAATTTCGCTAATTTGCAAAATCAATTATTGATAAAATTTTCAATATGAATGAATAAAACAATCAAACTACCTTTTTTGGACTTTAGAATTTAATACAAATATAATTTCAATTATCTAACAGATTTATTTTAGTAACAATAAGGGTGCTTTTTTACAGTTTAAAAATGCTAAAATATATTTTTGCTGTAATTAGAGTCAGAAGAAAATGTATATAAAACGTACACTGGTGTCCCATCTGAAATGAAACTCGCCAATGATTCAAAAGTTATCCAGTTTTTTTTACACACCCCAGTAACTAGTCGTTACAGTTATTAAATGGATCTGCTACAACAGAAACTATATTATAAACTGTCAAAATTCGTCTGCCTTGTCGAATTTGTTTTTCCGCCGACATAGTTTCTGGTTTGAATACTGTGAGTCACAAAAGTTAGTATATATGATTCGTAATATATATATATATAAAAGATTTCACCCTAAATAACTTTTTTTCTAATGATCGAATTTTTACGAAATAATTGTCGATTATAACTGTTCAAAAGGACTGCCACAAATATGCTAATTAATTCATGCGAACTATTAAATAAATTAGAAAAATAAAATTTTCTCTGTTGATGTGTATAGAAAAAACTTTTCTTATGTACCGTAAAATATTAACATTTCTTTCAAATTTAAGAGGGTGTTGAATTAGACAATATTATGGAGTTCGTTACATGATATTACGATTCAAGTTGAATTTAAATATGCTCAATTTTACATTTTGTGAAGTCTGCGGCCACTTTCGCATGAAATTCTGGTTAGTTGGAGTTTGACGCAAGAGTTAGAAAAGGCAAAAACCTCCTGCCACCAAGTATAATAGTTATTATTTTATTATTTTTCAGAGTAATGGATATAGTCCTATTGTTTGAATAAACCTTATAAGATTGTGACTTAAATGGTCACAAAGTAAGAACAAAAGCTACCAAAAAGTTAGTTTTTCAAATGCTTGAATAGTTTACAGTCCGTTAAAATTCGTTGTTACTACTAGCTAATATCAGAAATCCCGCTTGAAAGAAATCAACGGAATTTTCAAAGCAGAGAGTGCGTTTCTTGTTTTTCAGTGGCGCCATCTATGGCTCAGAATAAAACTTTGGCCACACTCATGTCACAGCCCGTTTTACAAGGCGGATCCAATCATATTCGATCCATTCATCCACAGATTGTAATTTTGATTGTTATGAGAACTTGGAGGACTTTGTGACCCCAACAGATATAACGTGCACCGGTCACCATTTAAAATAGGTGATTTTTCAGCCAGCGGAATTCGAATTCTCGGTCTCACGAACACGAGCCTAACGTCCAACCCATCAGGCTATTCCTCGTTAAAATATGTTTAATAGTAATTTAGAGACAACATAGAGAACAACCAGATGCCGGTTTGGCTTTCAATAAATGTTTATGGGTAAAACAGGAATAATCGGCCCGCAGTCTAATAAATAAAACCTGGGTTCTGCACTCAGCAGATATTGTTTTAAAGGTATCAGGATTAGGATAAATTTTATATATTTTATTATAATTTGTATATTACAATGTTCTTTTTATGTCTGTTGTACTGAAGATTTGCAAATCCATTTAAAGTCTAAAGATGTTAAAAGAATATTGCTTAAATTTTGAGTTCTCTTAGCTAAAATATCGGCACAGTTGCATAAAATTAGAGTTTAAAGTTCGAATATTATGATTCAACGTTATTCTGAATTATCTGCGAGTGTTGGAATATGTTTCGCATGTGACTTTCGGCCTTTGTAATCCTCCTTAATTTATATTTTAAGTTTAACTTATGCACTTAGTTAAACTCTTAGGTTTAAATAATGGAAAAAACTATTAAAAAATAGCACTGCGTGTTTTGAGGTTTAACTTGCAAAAAACTATTTTCATTTTTACCGAGTTTTAAAAAAAATTTAAATTAATACACATTATGTTTTTAAAAAGGAAATCTAATTATACAAAAAAAATCATTAGAATTTTGTACTGCTGATTTATTAAAAGAAAGTTCTTAGGATCTTAAGAAGAAAACTCAATACCTGAAGAAAAATAATAAAAAAAAACATACTCCTAGAATTTTAATTAAAATTAATGGCACCAAAAAATTGCTAATAAAATAATTTATTTTTAACCACTCTACCATCAATTAAATTAATTTTCTTCACAAATTTTAATTAGGTTGTTCGGATAGAGTTTCAGAAATATTTGTTAATCATTAGCGAATATTCATAAATAGGATAAGAGCTCTCATTTTTACCAATTTCTCGAAGCACTTTAATAATAAAGTCTTAAAACACAATCAAAATTTTTTCCTGAAGGAAAAAATGGAATTCTCGACAAGTTCTGAAGCTTGTTTTCCTTATTAAGACTAATCGATGGTTTACTATAATTAAGGCTTTCACAATATTCGATTAAATTATGCTTTTTTTNTTTTTTTTTTTTTTTTTTTTTTTTTTTTTTTTTTTTTAAGAATTCAGCACCGTGAAACGCTATCACTGGATTAAAAATGAAAAAAAAATATATATATATAAATGTGCCGTAAAAATGTGTCGAATTTAATTTTCTTCAAAAATGATTTATTGTGATATTGTTTTAATCACTTAGGGAGTGAAAATTACAGGTTAATTTGGAACACTTTGTTCAACTTAACATAATATCATAATACCCAGTTTTCATTTCCTATAAAAATTAATGCTAATAAAATAGTAATTGCTCGATATTTTATATTTTTTTAAAAATTTAATGTTAAGAAAAAGATTTTAATAACGAAATATCTTTCATATAATTAAAAGTTAAATTTATGAGTTAGAAGTCTTGAAAAAATATCTATTTGATAATATCTATGGGTAGCTTTCTTTTGCTCTTAGTGCAAGAAATATATTTTTGGGTGGTATCAAAATTAAATGTTTCATAACTGATTAATGGTTTAATAATTTGTTTGAAAATGATTATTACCAGTTTTTTTATAGGAATAAATTAAAAATACGATACATTTATTACGATATTTTTCCTACAGGGAATTTTTTTTGCAAAAAAAAAAAAATCCTACACTTATCAATTTAAATTTGATTTCATTTAGCCTCATAAAAATCCTATTAATGTTTGTAGCTATGTCAATATGATAGAGCAAAATTGGGGACAATCATATTGTCTATATTCTCGACGAAATTGAACTTTTATTCGCACATTCTTACTACAATAGTATTTACCGCAGGATAATTTTAAAAAAATATAACCAACACCTCAATAACGTTTGATCTGATCATCGGATTTTTATGTACTAGCATGCAGTCTTTATGATTAGATAGGGTACAAATTTTTATTCTAAAAATTCATTTGAATGATGTTTATAGTTACGAAATCAGACACAAGAATAAGCTTTTTTTGAGCTATATAGATGGCCAGTCCCTTAGTTATTGAAATTCCGATCATTATGACAAAATTTATTTAAAGGGACGGCTTTTCTGCGAGCTTGCCAAAATACTAAAAATCGTTTAAACTATGCGTTCTGTATACTCACTACGCTTTTTGAGAAAATTTTTTCCAGTGGTTGCAAATTTTATTTTTTAGTTCTTGATTTTTTTCAATTGTAAATTTGGTTTGAAATTACTTTACATACAATTAACTACTTGTAAACCATTTAAAAGTTCATATTAAAAGTCACTTTTTTCTAGCTCTTTTGTTGCAGGGCTTTTTAAAAGCTGTCGAACTGTTTAGCACACTGCAACATATTTTTAAAAAAGCGTAGTTGTTTGCAGCCTTGTAATAATAATTTTTCAATTTACATAGTAAGAAGTCAAGATAAAAATTATTAATTAGCTTCACCATTTCAGAAATTTAAGGTCTTTTTTAAGGCTTATTTGAGGTGGTTTTGAGGTGACAAGGTTGATTTGAGGTTTATTCAAAATTTATTTCAAAAACAGCTCTAAAAAATCAACTTCCCAAGGTGAATAATCAAGGTGTATGAATCTGTTTTATTCACACTTGAGGTTTATGGAAATCTGCTTTAGAGCAATACAGCTTAAGGAGGTTGTTTTTGAGATTTACGGATCACTGTTTCCTCACTTCAAGCAAATACGTATATATTTGAGGTGTGAATAATTTCACCCGATTTAAATTAATTTTATTTCTGAGTTATATATAATGTTGATTTTGTGTGCTGAAAATTAAGTTGAAATTAAGATTAATTAATAAGGTTATTTTTGGTGCGAAATATAACTTTATTTTCTATCTCATGTGTATTTGTTGCATTTGCCAACCTCAAAACCCCTTTTATTTGTAAAGACACGTTTAAAAAAATATAATATTTTAATAATTTACCTTGTATTTGAATTGAATCTTGATCAATTTTTAAATCCTTGAAAACTCCAGTTCTTGAACGCATTATTTCTTCAGACAGTATAACATATAAATCTGCGGCGCTAAGCCCGACTTGCTCTGGTGACAAGTGCAAATTAAAATGAACAATTAAATTCTTTTCATCATCTTTCCTAAAAGACAAGAAATGAGAACTCATTAAAAATATATAAGACTTGGCTTTTAGTTAAACATATTTCTTTGCAGTGTGAAACGTAAAAATCGAAAAAATTTATCTAATCATCATTCTTCAAAGGCAGATTTAAACATAATTGAAGTCAATCTTTTAAAATGTATTTTCTCTAGATAAAACGTATGGAAAATTAAAATAAATTGATTTTAGCGTCACGTTGTTTTATTTTTCGATGCTTGATTTTAATTAAGTTTTGAAGGATTTTTAACTAGTATAATACTTATGAAACATAATTTTGTTTTAATCTGATTGTTTAGTGAATGAGTGAATCTCAGACTTAAGATAAAGGGAAATTAAGTCAAGTAGCATCATTCATTTTGTTTAAAAAATCAAATAACGCTTCAATTGTTAATTAAAATATGTAACTAATGAAATAAAACGTAATTTTCATCCCCATTTTATTATTAAAGTAATACTTTTCTGTAAATTGCACCTGAAACATTATCTTTTTCTAAATTATGTCGTTTTGTTTTAATAACTCTAATTTTTGCTTTACAATAACAATTTCAACCTTCTTGTGCGGGTGCTTTTATTCGTTTAAAATATAAAATTAATATGCATGCTTTTCAGTTTGTCAAAATACGGTTTTTCTAAAATTAAACGTTTATATAATTTAACTATTGCGGCTAAAAATGTGACCCGTGAAGCAATGTGACCCGTTTGGCTTTTTTTTTAAATATTTAAACCATTTTAGGCTAAGTATAGAAATTTTATCAAATGTATTATTTTCATTGAAATAAAGTTATATTACATTCATTACGATACAAAATGAAAAATAGTATTTAAGAAATAAATTTAACATTTAAGAAATAAATTTAACATTTAAGAAATAAATTTAACATTTAAGAAATAAAATGTGGCATTGACAAATTGATGAACAATAGACAATCCATTTAGAAAAACACTAGTTTTTTTTTTACATTTATTTAATTTTTATTTTATTAACAAAACTTGAAACTCTAGTCTAAGCATTAATGGTCACAAGCCAATAATGCTTAAATTGTTTTTCAAGTCAGTATAGCAGAAAATTCAAAGAATAAATCCTTTAGCTTTGCTGCGTTTGCTTACACAGCACTTATGCGAGGGTAGCGCCTCTTACGGAATTATTTCATATTAAATCTCTAATCACGTGAACAATTTTATTAGTATCCTGTATATCAATGAATTTCGGATTTATTTAGAAAAAACAGTTTTGATACACCACAACTAAGTTTTGATTTTTTAAGAGTTTCTCCGAAGAAGAAAACACGTCACGTAGGAGGTAGTTTTTATCCTTTCTTTCTTTAATGCTTTAGAGATCTTGAAAGGAAGCTGCAACAATCAGTTAGTTTGGTAGTAGAAAAGTAATGCCAACAGAATAATAAACTGCAATAAAAATGTGAAAGAAGTTTTTGCAGTTGAGGTCCTATGAATTGCGAAATTGTTAAAAGAGTGTATATCTTATGAATTACTAACATGAGATGAATTTGATCCGATCTTTTTGAAACTATTTATTTATTCAAAAATTTTCAATTTTTATAATTGTTTTATTCTCCATCTTTTCTAGATTTTTCGATGCATTTAATTGTATTATGAAATTGAATAATATATCTACTCAAGTGCCATGCTTTTCAGTTAAATCCGCAATTGAAAGTGATTTTACGCTTTAAAAATGAAGCAAAAAAGAAATATTTAAAACTCAGATTGTTTGGAAACTTTCCATTTCATTCCCTCATAATTATCGTTAATTTGGTTGACTTTTGTCAAACTTGCCAAAACAAGGTTGTATGTGCTATATCTAAACAAATGTAAGAGATTTTTGCCTCAATTTCAACTTATACACTGTAAAAAAAAATAGTGCATAGTTGCCATTATTTTTGGTGTTGTACATAAATAAATACATTTTGAAGTACAGAATTGTGATTATCGTGCAAAAAATTTTACTAAATTGGCAAAGTAGCATCTGTTTGAAAGTATTAATACAAATATTTTACTAAAAATGTGTTTGTTTTTGTAGTGAAACCTTAAAGTGATTCTAATGCAAATGGAAATATGAATCGTTAGTAACAAACGAATAAATAAATAAAAAAAAAACTATAACAATGAAAAAGTAAATAAAAATTAATACTACATGCACTGTAAGGATGCATGTAGTAACATTTAAGGACCCTATTTATGTAAGGACGCGTGTAGTAACACTCAAGGATCCCGTTTATGTAAGGATATACGTAGTAACATTCAAAGATCCCATTTATGTAAGGATGCATGTAGTAACATTCAAGGATCCCATTTATGTAAGGATGCATGTAGTAACATTCAAGGATCCTATTTATGTAAGGATGCATGTAGTAACATTCAGGGATCCCATTTATGTAAGGATGCATGTAGTAGCATTTGAGGATCCCATGTATGTAAAGATGGAAGAATCTCGACCCCCCCCCTAAAAGGGCAAATTAGAATACTGAAGAGCTCGGGTCTGTAAAATGTTTTAGTTTTTATCAACCAAAAAATGGTGGTAACTATAAATCAAGATTTTCTTACAGTGTATGGTCTTGATATATATAAGTGGTAAGCACTTTGTTTAATTACTTCATGTACAATCATTCCAATTTTGTTGGGGCAAACTTACCCCAATCGATGAGAATCAACATTACATCCGCGTTTTTAATAGTCCTTGAACTATGAACAAAATATCCGTATACGTGACATAATGGAAATTATTGCTTTTTTGAATCCTTAACTAAAAACAAGTGATAAATGTAAGGAGCGATATCCAATGAGTAAGGAGGAAGAAGAAAAGTTTCATCAACCAAGAGTTTTGGTTTCTTGTTATAAGTCATGTTGTCGTGAATCACTCATTTCCTGTTGATTAGTGATAGCTACTTTTAATGCAGTGCGATGCAACCATTAGAACAGGGGCAAATAAATTATCACGAGTTATGCAACATTCTGATAACTCAAAGCGCTCAATACCAGGGGATTGGATTGAATGTAGGGTTTAGTGGCACTAAGTTCAAAAGAGGACATGCTGCGCCAAACAATACGGTAAAACAATTCAATAGACAGAGTGCATGCAACAAATTGCCGTACAATCAAAACAGTTAAATTTCCTAAGTCGCTCAATACAAGCATTGATACCTCAAATATGAAGCTACTCGAAAACTGTTTTTGATAAAATAATAAATATTATCAAATAATCTATACAATTTAGAGAAAAATAAAAAGTTCTGGTCTCTTAGCCATTCTTCATCGCGATATAAAGATTGGTGACGACTCTTATGAGTTTCAGTACAAGATGCTTATGGAAGAATGCGAATTATTAAGATCAGGGTAGTTATAAAAGTGATCAAGCAAACACTAAATAATAATTGAGCAGCGATAGCTCAGGGGATAGAGCGTTTGCCTTCCAATGAGGATAACCTGGTTCAAATCCAAGTCGATGCGAATTCCTCATCCTGCTTGCACCGACCACAGTGCTGACGTGAAACATCCTCAGTGGTAGAAGGATCATGGGTTAAAGCTTTACCGTCAGGTTAACCGTGAAGGATCTCGTAGTCTTCCTCTTCATGTCACGCAAATGCGGGATAGCTCCATCAAAGAGTCCTCCATGAAGGCATATTTCTCCCAATACTTGATTCACGAGATCCCTTGTCTTCTGGATTGAGATCAAAATTACAAGGCTACGGAGTTGAACATTAGTAGTCGTAAACCCATAAAATTGGGTCGGCTGTTCAACGACGGTTATAAAATATAAAATAAAACTCTAAATAATTGATAACAATGGAGAAGCATTTTTTGTTGTGTTTATTCGGGTCTGGAGATTTTACGTCTGAAATTACTTTTGCTCCTAAGGCTACAGAATATTTTTAAAATGACTTTTTTTGTCCATTTTTTGCTGTAATCTACAAATTTAAAAACATATGTATCAAGGGGTAGCGTAAATGTAGCGGCAAATTTCTAGGAGAGTTAAGACACTATTGTAAAGTAACCCATGGATGAAAATGTCGTCCTACGTGGCTAGGGTCGCTACCCTATCATTACCTGCTTAAAAGCACACGAAGAAACAGTTTAAAAGCGAAAAATGCCCCTAGCGGCGTATTACTATTTTTACTGGCATGGGTTGCCATACAATTTTAATTCTGATTATCTGCATTTCCTAGCATTTGTGTGACTCATTGTTATGTATAATACTTTTAAACTTATTTTTAACATTTCATTAAAAAAAAAGACTAAAATTGTCATTAAAAAATCAGTAGTTTATAGAGGGAATCCGATTGCAGATTTGAAATCAGCAATACAAAAGTATCTAAGATCAGTTAAAAAATTACAGGCAAACAGAAAAAAGTAATTCTCCAGTGTAATTTGCATTTTTTTGTAATTTATTGCACTTACCAAATATTTATCTGCGATGAATTACAGAAAGTTTCAAAGAAATTGCTATTTACTCCTACTTTACGTTCCTATCTATAGCGTTCTAATCATAATAGAATGAAAGATCTGAGAAGGAAGTTGTTAAGGGAAGAGATGATTGCAGAAATATTGTACCCCACTCCGTCCAGTTAACTTCGTAATTCCGCATTACTTGATTTACACTGCACAAGCTTGGAGTAATTAGCTCTCGGTTGGAGATGCCGAAGTGACGGTGTACTTATGCAGAAAGATGGAATTAACCGGACTGAATGCGAAATCCTTCTATTGATTCTACATATCTCTTGTACTTATCACCCGCTTTATACTCCATAACATTTTATAACTCTGCTTTACTTCTTCCATAAAATTTTATAGTAATACTCTCAATGTTTTAAAATATGATCATCTACAGGTAGCCATAGGTTTAATGACTCTCCTAGTAAGTTTTCAGTTTCCTTTTTTTTCTCCAGTCGATTCAGTTTTGTTTCTGTTTAAAGTAGTTTAGAAAATGAGATATAGATGGCAGCACAAAATCACGTGATTAGTAAATGTTAATTTTTGCTTTCTGTATTATATAGTTTAGTTTTCTCTATGTGTTTGTCTCAATAGTTGTGTTATTAAAAGCGGCATGGTAATTTCAAAGTGATTATTTCCCCGCGAAGTATACCTTTTTCAAGATCAATTTGGATCAATTCTCATTTATGTTTGGTGCATTGTAAAAAACTTAAACTTACCTGCCTATTAGTATTTTAACCTTGTTATTTAAGCAAAGCTATATGGATGTTTGCATTCAATTCAATTAATTCTAATCCATTACGGTAATAATTTTTAAAGATGTTTAATACTATGTCAATGGTCTACCGTACAAGGAACACCTTAGTCAAATTATTGAGGTTCTTCGTGGTAAAATCTAATCTTGATGATTGAAGTAACCTTTTTTTCACTGCTAGGTCAATTCAGGCGTATTAGGCAGATTTCAGGGGCACCATATTAGGTGGGCCAACGTTACTCCCACAGTAAGGACAAGGTACTGAAAGTGAAAGAACATCCATGCCTTGTCTGGGATTCGAATGCAGAGCCTTTCTGATGCAAGATCAGTTCCCTGATCCTTACGCAGTACTATCGGCTATTCATGTAACCTAAATATGGTAAAATAGTTGTGCAAACGATATTTAAGTTACGAAATCAGCCAAAAAACGTACCTTCTCAGAATTAATATTATTTTTTGTAAGAAGGATTTGGATTCTTAAAATATAACCTCAATCTGAAAAATATGAACCCCATAGTGTTAGCCGGAGAGCGCTACTTTTTCCCGGATAAAGTAGGGCTACATGTAGTGCTATGTAAGGGCTACGTGTTATTTTTTTTTTTTTTTTTTTTTTTTTTTTTTTTATATTTCACCGTATCTTGGGAACTATTTTGAGCTAGTCAAAGCATTTCTGCACAGAATATATAAACTTACTTATCCAATGACTATTCCATGTAAAAAATATTTTTAATAATTATTTGTTATTTATTTTAATGATTGTCAAAAAGTTTTCACTGATTTGGTATGCAATTTTCTACATCAATTAAAACTGAAGATAAAGGGAAAAAACTGTTTTTTTGTTTATTTTGTCTAAATGACTGTTTTGTCCAAATGATGATTAGATCACTGTCATCTGTTTCATTTTGAGGATTACTAAGTTTCGGAAAATAAATAACTTGGAAAATCAGTTCTTCCTGGGAGTTATTACGTAGTGAAGATAGGCTGTCCTGAAGAAAAACGTTTCCTGAAAATCTTGAAATTCGTTTTCATTCATAATCAACTTTCATGGACATAAACTGCTCTACCCTCCTGATGAACTATGTAACCTTTAATGACATAAATCAAAAATTTTAACGGAATCGGTCAAATAGTTGAAAAATTAAAATTCAAAAGAATTTTTTTTTATTGTATTCAGAGTAAATAAAAAGGAAAATAATAAAAAATCGAATTTTTCGTTTGAGTTTACAACTACAAATGTTAAACTCCGTAGCCTTGTAATTTTGAACCTAATCCAGAAAACAAGGGAAATCCCAGATCAAGTATTGGGAGAAATTTGCCTTCGTAGAGGACTGTTTGAGGTAGCTAGCCGGTATTTGCGTAACATGGATTGGAAAACCACGGAAATCTCTCACGGTTAGCATAACAGCAAAGGGACTCTAACCCATTATCCGTCTAACACTGAAGATATTTTTACGTCAGCACAGTGGTCGGTGTGATCCGGCTGTGGAATTATCGACTAGCCATTGCTGGGGATCGAACCCGGATCAGCTAATTTTGAAACGAGCACTCTAAACACTGAGCCACCACGTCTCCATCTCTATCCAAAAAGTCCATTTGTAATTTAAAACTCTTATGTAATAAATTGCAAACAATCGCATGAAAGCCTTTGTGGCTTAGGGGATAGAGCATTCGTCGCTCAATGAGGTGAACCGGGTTCGAATACCAGCGATGGCTGGTCTATTTCCATCTCGCAACTGACTCGCACCAACCCCAGTGCCGACGCAAAATATCATCAGTGGTAGACGGATCATGGATTAGAGTAAGGCTAACCATGGAAGTTATCAAAGTTTTCTTCTCCATGTGAAGCAAATGCGGATTATTTCCGTCGAAAAAGTACTCCACGACGACGAAATTTCTCCCAATACTTGATCCAGGAGTTCCCTTGTCTTTTGGATTGGGTTCAAAATTTCAAGTCTACGGAGTTGAACATTAGTCGTCGTAAACCCAAAATTGGGTCAAAACACGGTTTTAAAACAATCGCATGAGTCACCGGTGATTCAAAACTGGGATTACGAGTCATTTCTAATGTTTGTTATTACATTGATAAAATATACTAAATGTCTGGATGTTTTTAGCAGACAATATAATCGATGCCTTTTATTTAAATATTGTTCAAATATCCTAATCAAAGGCTAGGATATGTTTCAACACTCGAAATACTAATCAAAGAGAAAAGTTTTAATTCTTTGAAAGTTCTTTTATTGAACGCGATAATATGATCATGTTTATCTGTTTTCTTTCCTCTCAGAACAGGAGTAATGGGCAATTAAGGCGACCCCCAAATTCCAAGTGCAAACGAGCAGAAAAGGATGGGAAGAAGGCTTTTACGGCTGGATGAACTCCTGAAACGTTTTTCGGAATAAATTCCGAACAATAAATGAATTGCTATTCCCTCTATTTCATTTAGTTTACAAATAAAAGATGATAATCCTTTTAAGCTTTTGAGAATTATTTTATTAATAAATAAAGCTACCGATAGAAGGAAATACAACTAAATTTGTTTGATCCGATTTAATTTATTNACTCCGTAGCCTTGTAATTTTGAACCAATCCAGAAGACAAGGAAACTCCTGGATCAGTACCCCCAGAGGTATTGATTTGTTGTGGGAACATGGAGGACTTTGAGACTCGACAGATTTAGCGTGCATCAGTATCCATTTACTACACGGGGAGTCTTCGGCCGGCGAGGATCGAACCCACGACCTTTTGGATATGGGCTCAGCGCCCTACCGACCAGGCTATTCCGGCCCGAGATTAAGGTATGAAATGATGTATTTTAACTCACAAGAATTGTACCTCGAATTATTATTGTTATTTTCATATAAATATCTTCTAACGCATAATAGTTATATTTCATTCAGACAATGGTAACGTCACGTCTAAAAAATGCAGAAATTTTAGATTTTAGTATATTCAGTTTAGAAAAGTTCCTAAATTTCTTAAAGAAAAAAAAATCCAATATCATATCCTCACACTTAATTTATACTTCCGTTACAAAAAAAAAATCCCTTCTAATCCAACGGAAAAAAATCCCCAAAATGTATTAAATATAAGAAAAGGAGAAAATGATTCGTAGCTTTAAAATTAAACAAAATCACAGTCTGAGAATTCAGACTTATCTTAACTAGGTAACTAAAAAGTTGAAACAGAAGTAAATTACACTTCATTTTAAGGCATAAAAAAGTAGATTAAATTAGTTTCCAATTTGTGAGTCGAATAGACATTAAGACGTATGGAGGAAAATAATAAAAAAAAAAAAAAAACAGTGAGCATGCTTTTTTTTAACGCTTAAATGATGATTCTAAACAACAGTAGATTCCTATTTTTCTTTATCAAACAATGCCCGAGACGAGACGTACGCTAGATAGTTTCATATAATAATGTCTAGTTCTACATTTATTTCTTGTTATAGCAAAATATTTCCAATCTTATACACTTCTTTAAGAAAATTGTCTATAATCTTCCCATCTATATTGTTTTATTCATATTAAATTGAAAATATCGAAAGATATAGTTAACCCAGCATTATTTACACTATGTATCTAATCTTCAAATATAAATATATATCAGAATAAAATATTAAATAAAAGGTTGAGTAAATGTAACTTGAACTCAGAACTATCTATCCCTGAGGGCTAACAATGTATGGAAGTATATTTTCCTTCAGATTCAATTTTATAAGATAAGTTTTACATGTCAAAATATGTGAAGCATACTGATTTCAAACTGGAACACAAAACTATAGATTTAATTATTTAAAGCAGATACATATTGATAGGGATACCTTCAAATGAAACCATATTTAATCAAATATTGGAAACGTAACTTATTTATTGAACTTGCATAAAATGAGTAGTAGAAAATGTTTCAAAACCTTTCAGTTGTAGATTGTGCTAAAATAATGCAAAAATTTATTTTAACCCTCCGTTCATAGAGCCCCATGGGTAAAATTGTAGAAAAATTTCTCTGCAATGCATATTAGAAATACAGAACATATTAGAACATATTAGAAATACAGAAAACAGTTTTTTTTTCCGGGAAAGTCAGAAATAAGACTCTGAGAATTAAAATAATTGAAGCAAATGGTTTTTAACGCAATAGAGAATTACACAATAGAGGATTTAAAAATAATACAATAGAGAATTACAATAGAGAATTTAAAAATTTTGATCGGGTACTTACTTATTCAAAGCCAAAATCTCAGACTGGATGAAAATATTCTTGTAAACGCTGCTGTTGTACAATTTGTCCAACTGTAAAAAATAATAATTATTTTTATTTATCACATTTTCAATAAGTAATTTAGATAAAATATTGTTTAAAACAACGCAAATATATGTGTATTACTTTACTTTTTAATCTGTCTTAAGAAATCGTGTGTTTGGTGCAGCATGTCTTTTTTTTTGGTGGGGGGGCTTTCTGCCATTAAACCCTACATTTAATTCAATTTCAATTCTTTTCCAAGTGTCTCTTGCAGTTTTCATTGATTTTCTTATACATAAATATATTTTTAAGCCTTTTAAAACTCATTGGCTTTTTGCTTTTTTGAATTTAACCGAAGTCCAACGATTTACGTCATCCAAATTGATCATTTTTCCCTTTTTATGTATCAGACTTACTTTATAATTAGTTGGCTTGTATTTCGTGGCAAAGGAACCAGAAGTGGCTACAGCTCACCTTGAATTAAATGTAACAGTGTTCATTGTTAAATAATAAGCTCTTTTGTTTAAATTTAGAAATTCGATAAACTAAATAAAGGTGCAAAATCAAATGTCCTTCAAATAAAAGCCCATAGATTATCATCAGTTTTCATAATTTATTTTACAACCGTCGTTGAACAGCAGATCCAAAGTTTTTGGTTTACGACTGCTAATGTTCAACTCCGTAGCCTTGTAATTTTGAACCCAATCCAGAAGACAAGGGAACTCCTGGATCAAGTATTGGGAGAAATTTGCCTTCGTGGAAGACTTTTTGATGGAACTAAACAGCATTTGCATTACATGGAGAGTTAAACCACGAAAATTTCCCACGGTTAGCCTGACGGCAAGAGGACTCTAACCGATGATCCATCTACCACTGAGGATATTTTAGGTCAGCACTGTGGTTGATGCAAGACGGATGCAGAATTCGATGATGGCCATTGATGGGATTTGAACCCGGTTCACCTCATTGGAAGGCGGATACTCCAACCCCTGAGCCATCACGGCTCTATAAATTTGTACTGCAATAAAATGAGATTTCTGAATAATATTGTGGTTATTGCGTAATCACGGTTTCTTCATCAATGCACTAATACAAAAACCGGACTATTTATAACTCCTGTTTACGGAAAATGTGGATAACTATTTTAGCAATACTTCTTTTCTTCATAATTGAACATGCAATAAGTGGCATAATTGAACATGTAAATAGAATCATGTAATGAATAGATGCTTAGACTATAGATTACTTTTAAAGTCGGATGGTGACTATGATCAAAATAATTTACATTTTAAAGATTATTGTTGAACTTCAAACTGTATTGTACAGTTGATATAAAATATGTGTAGCTCCACTTGGTTATCAAAATAAATAAATCCCCTTTACTACAATGATCTAGTAAGTGTATATAAATGTAACAGCAAGTGTTAGCTTTACAATACATTCATCAGGGCATTACACTACGTTATGCATTACACTTTACCATTTGAGTTCACGGTTTGTTTATAAATTGCTGAGATACTTCACAATAAATTTGATATATATTTCTTAGATTTTAAAATTTAGCTTTTCTATGGGTGAGACCTAAGGGAGCAGAAAAAGCCTAACCCCAAAACTCTCAGCTGAAAAATCAAATCAAAAATTAATTAAGGTAAACTTATTAATTACCTATTCATCATGTAGGGAGAAATTCATTATTGGTGCTTTATTGTAAATAAACACTGTCAAAAGCTAAGCCAATCTCACGATATCTAGTATAAATTTTCAATAAATTGTAAGAATTGAACTCAAAAAAGTTGGTTAAAATTTGACTCAACCTTGCATTTGAAGCATTTTTAGGTAAAAATGAAAGCGATCTAAAGAAAAGAATATTGAAAAAAAGATTTTGATGTTCATTGAAAAATCGATCAGTTTCAATCGATTCGATTCAAATCTACTAAATTGAATGAAAATTAGACGTTATATTTAGCGAGAAATGCAACTAATAAAGATATTTATATCCGCTTTGTGAAAATGAATAACTGTCTCATTTTATCGGAAAAAGTTTAGCAGTGCTAAAATTTTTTAATAACTTTTATAAAATAAGGGAAACTTAAAAACTGGAAAATATGTAATATTTTAATGGCGTGACAGTCAATTACTTGTGACACTGTAACATTTATTTTGTTTTATAACCAAAACTCTTAAATGCAGCTCAAAGAGGCGGTAATTTAAATTTTTTGACTACTATTAGTGCTTTTTTGATTCATAATGTCTGTAAACAAATAGAAAAAATAACTTATGACAAATTATAAATAAATAAAATTATTCTGGTAAAATGTTCCAAAGTTTTTAAATTTGACTGGTTAAATCTATTTTTAAGATGTTTTCTCTGTCTTAATATAGATAAGAAGTTTCATTGCAAGAAAGAACTAGTGGGATCTATTCTTCAAAAAACAAAGAGCTTTTAATTATTTATCAATTTTTTGTGCTTACCCATCTAATGACTATTTATCCCTAAGTACTTAGATATGATTTAAAGAAAAGTTCTACCTTACAATCAGTCTGCTACGCTTATCTAAACTGCATAATATGAGCATTTTGTACATTAAAACCATTACAACGTGTTACAATAGCGTGACAACGATTTATTAATTTATTTTGTTTTGTATATAACTAACTGTCGAAAATATGTTCTGGTTGCAAACAAATGGTTAACATATTGAATTCAAAGATATTTTGTTCTGTATTATCACTGAACAAGAAAAAATAAATAAGTAAAAGAAAATAACATTAGAAAATATACTACAAGGACATTTAAAAACTGCGATTTCGTTTTCAATTTATCGCTTTTTTTAAATGAACAGCATGAATAATTTTTTAATGTAAATCACAATATGATTTTACAAAATATTAATTGCATACGAAGTATTAAAAAAGTATTTATTTTACTTTTTCTCCACAAAAACTTCTCTCATAGAGTAACTCCTTTGCATTCCTTTAAAATTCTCTAGACATTTTTTTTCTTTTATGTGCGCTTTTAAAATTTTCCTTAATGCTTCTATTTCAAGTATTCGTACAATATCCAGGCATTTAAAAAAAAATATATAAAGTGGAATTTTCCGTTTAACAATAATATTATCGTCATTTTATTTAAAATAGTAATTCGGCTCAATCTAATTTCCTCCATTACCGTAAAAGCTATGTTCATTAATTTTGTTCCTGATCATATAACAAAGAACAACATAAAACAAGTTGCTAGAAAACCCATTACGTAGACAAAGCAGATGTATTCAAACCAAATTAGCGACCTTTTTTGGTAAAAAAAAACTGTTTTGAGAGACTGCAGAGAAGCAAATTAGAAGAATCTGAAAAAATCCAAACCAAAACTTTTCTTTTTTTGTATTTCAGTGTTTTATTATCATTTCAGTGCATCGGTTTTGTAAGGTAGTAATTATGTTCAGCTGAAAAAAGATTATCTATTTATTAGTGTTGATTAAGTCAACATGATTCACATTCTTATAATCAGCTGAACACTGCTAAAACAATATAAAGTTAAGATTTTTTAAAAAATCTAGGTTTTTTCAGTTAATTCCTTTAGAACCATTTACGCAAGAGTCATTAGTTACGACTATATCACCCTCACAACTAGGTTCATAAATATCGATTCATAAAATAGATTAAAAACCAATATCTTGTGATAGGCGTATGTGCTGTTATGAGAATTTTTCCTATTAATGCAATTAATGACGGATTAAAGCTTTCAAATTGACTATCTTTGAATTCGAAATTTTTTGCATTGGATTAAAATATGATTTATTGTTTCCGCGGTTGAGACATCGAACCTAATATTATTTACCTCTATCAATTATTTTCTCATATATTTCTTCCTTTATTTTTACTGTTATAAATACAAATAATCTTCCAAATACGAAACGCCTCAGAAGATATACAGCTCATTTCTAATTTCAGCAAACCAGTAGAACTATAAAGTCATTAAAGGAAAATAGTTAAAGCAAGTTGGACTTATGAGTTTTTCTTTAAAAAAATATTTAAAACATCATCAACCTTGTTTGTTCTAAATTGAATCCAGTTGAATATAGAGTTTAGGATACAAAAGTCTTAATCGTCTATAACCTGTCAAATGTTATTGGTATAAGATAACTCAGATGAGCTGATGAAAAGGTGCCATAAACAAAGTGTACAGCAGGAAAAAAATAGAAAAAATAGATGTTTGATTTTATTTAAATATTCTTTTTATAAATGTAAATAATCTTCCAAACACGTGAGAGCTAAGAAGATAAAGCACTATTCCTAACTTCAGAAACCCATTTTAATTTGTGTGTTTTTTCAAGCAAGTAATAAAAACCTATTTTTTACCAATTTTATTTATTTTACCATACCAGCTAAAAGCTGATCAAATTTTTTTTTTTTTTTTTTTTTTTTTTTTTTTTTGCAATTTTGTAACTGCTAGATTCGTAAATCTATCCTTAACGTTTTTTTCTTTAATTTGGTTTGCGTTAGTAAGTTTATTCTTTTTTTTATTTCTTCTATCTTTTTAAACTGATTTATGATTACAATATTATTACATTTTTTGGGACATTAGTGCATGATAAATTATAAATTTTATTTTAGGATAATTACTTTTATTTCGGAATCCCTCATTTTCATTAAAGGCTGCAACCTAAAGAGATTTTTTACGTTTATTTCAATTGGTTTTTATTTATGCTTTCAATATGTCGCACCGTGCTAGAAAAGTGCCACAAGTCAAAAAACAGCAATTTTGAGGTGCCAATAAAAAATATGCATAATGTGCCTCATCAAGCTCAAAAAGTGTCACATCTCTAACAATTTATCCAGCTGAGAGCAGTTGCGTTAGTTTTGTGTCGAATTCAAAATAAGAGTTATAGTATTCGTTAAGTTGATTTTTCTCAATTGTCTTTTTTATAACAAGTTTTAATTTCGTTAAACAATGCTTGCTTTTATGGAATAGCTGTTACTGACAGGAGTAGAATCAAATTTGGCATTTAATAAACAGAAATTAATTAATTTTAATTATAATTGATTAACTATA